TCTTCTCTGGTCTCCCTGCTAGGCTCCCACAGCAGCCACAGTTGATCTTTTAGTAAGAAATATTTTAACAAAAAAAAATTAGATTTTATTATGGAATACATCACATATTCAACATGTTACATATCACACATATACTCTTTTGACTGATGGATTGATTTTTTATAGAGAGAGGGGGAGAGAGTGTTTTGTTGTTCTACTTATTTCTACATTCATTGGTTGATTCTTGTATGTGTCCTGACCAGGGATCGAATCTACAACCTTGGCGTATCAGGGCTCTAACCAACTGAGCTACCTGACCAGGACCCACATATATACTCTTTAAAGAATAAAATTAAAAATTACTCTGTACCCAACATGCAGATTAAGACTGATATGTTACCCAATACTGCCCAAGCCTCTGTGGGCCCCTCCTTGATTTTATCTACCTTCCTTTGCCTTCAGAGGAATTTCCTGAGTTTGGCTTTGTTTCCTTGATTTTATCTATTGTTTTATCATCTATGTATAGAAGCATAAATAGTTTCTTATTTGTCCTGGGGTACTTTTGAACTTTTCATGAACTTGTACTTTAGGCATTTATCCATCACTTACTCCTTTTGCCCAGCATGATGGTTTTTTGGTCATATTCATTCCTATTGATGTCTAAAACTGGACTGCATTCATTTTTACTGTATGACATGAATACACCACAACTCATCCATTCTAGTCTGATGGACATTTCACTTGTGTGTGGTTTTCAGGTATCACCCAGTACTGTCATAAGCATTCTTTTATGTCTCTGTGCACCTGTTCATATGTACCTGTAGTAGGAATAGCTGGGTTTACTATATACCCATGAGGATGCCTAAAATTAAAAAGAGAAAATAGCCCAGGCTGGTGTGGCTCAGTGGATTGAGCGCCAGCCTGAGAACCAAAGAGTGACCGGTTCGATTCCCAGTCAGGGCACATGCCTGGGTTTCAGGCCAGGTCCCCAGTAAAGGGCATGCAAGACGCAGCCACACAATGATGTTTCTCTCCCTCTCTTTCTCCTTCTCTCCCCCTCTGTCTGAAAATAAATAAAATCTTAAAAAAAGAGAGAGAGAGAAAATATAAAGGCATGGAACAAGTGGAACTCTCATACAGTACTAGTGGAAATGTAAAATGCTACAACCACTTTAGAAACCGTATGGTAATTTCTAGTAAAGTTAAAACATGCACCTACCCTATGACCTAGTAACTCCACTCCCAGGCATTTACCCAAGAGCCATGAGAGCGTGTGTCCACAAAAGGACTTGTACGAGAAGTTCATGGCGGTTTTATTTCTAACAACCAGAAACTGGAAATAATTGAAATGTCCAGACATGGAGAAAGACAGACCACTGATACACACAAACTAGTGGATGAATCTCCAAAACACTGAGCTGGGCAAAGGAAGCCAGACACCGCAGTACGTAATGTGTGTTTATATGAGGTTCAAGAGCAAGTGAATGTCATCGATGGTGACCACACTCAGAAAAGTGGTGGAGTGTGGATACTGACTGGAAAGGAGCACAGCGAACTTTCTGTGGTGATGGAAATGCTCTGTGTGTTCCACCCATGGGCACACTGGTGAAAATTCGCCAAGCTTTACATGGAAAGGTTTCTGCATTTTATTATGTACTAATTAAACTTTACTGAAAAAATCGATTGTCCCATATGGGGGTAAAATTTGGGGGAGGGGAACGAACCAGCATATTCAGCCTGTTGTCAGGGTTCGGCCAGAGCTTTAAACTCGCTTAGTATGACAAGCAGGCTGAACTCACAGGCTTTCATAGATTCATAATTCAGCCATTCTGACTATTCAGCATTTGGGTGAGAAACCATTCGTTCCCACCCAGGCCTTAGGAGAGGGGAGTTCAGACACATGGGGCGACTTAAAATAAATTAGCCTAGGATGACCAGAGGAACTTTCTAGTTGCCACACAAAATGTTGCCACAATTTCTGTGAGAAAGGAGATTTTTAGTTCCTCTTAAAAAAAAGAAGAAAACACTACTGGGATGTAGTCATGTCCATCTTTATTAAGCAATGCCAGATTATCTTCCAAAACATTGTTAATTTATTTTCCCACCACTGGTGAAAATATAAGAGTTCCAATACTCCCCATCCTTTCCAAACCCTTGATACTGTTGGTTTGAAAACATTTGTTTCAAGGGTTCATTTTAAAATATACATCAGGCCTGTGACACTTCTCTCCTCTAAAAACCCTCCCTTCAGAGTTACAATGAATCCCAATCCTTCCCGAGCCCTGTGTGGCCTGGCCTTTGCTTGGGCACCCTCCCTGCTTCGCCGTTTTCCGCAGGTCCGGCTTGTTCCCTCTCCCGAAGCCCTTTGCACTCCCTGTTCACACTCCTCACAGCTCCCTGTAACTTCCCTGCCTTGGCACTTCATGAGCACCTTAGGGAGACCAACTGAGTGTTTAAAATAAAAATATCTTTGCATCACAGAAATATGTAAGAATATGTTGACTGTTAACAGATATTTTCACAGTTTGGACTCGTTTCTTGCTTAAGTTGTTTAGATATTAGAAAAAGATACACTTACTACAAATTAATAGAATAAACTAAATGAGACCCAAAAATGGGCTTTTGATTTTAAATGTTCAATTTGTTCCTATAAACTTTGTCAATAAAAATAATCAACAATGAAGAACAAAAAAAGATTGGAAGTTCCACAAGGAGGGAGCAGGTGTGGCCTATCCCACACCATCCTGCGGGGTCCCCTTGAGTATCTGTTGATTGAATGAGGAGCCTTGCCAGCCAGGGGCCCCCAGTAGCCTCAGAAGGCTTGCCTGCTTTCCTTTTTGGGCAACAGAAGTGGGGACTGACGCCAAAGTGTGTGCCGCCCCATCCCAACTTTTTTGTATTGTGGCAAATGCATGGACTTAACATGAATGGTCCGAGCAGCTGTGAAGCGGAGAAATCAGAGCTGGGCAGCCGGCACCTGGAGGGACGGGGAGTTCCCAGGAGAAAACAAGACTGTGAAAGCACTTAGGAAGGTCAGCAGTGGATGACTTCTGCTGTTTTTAATGCATGTCTGGGGACCTCTGATCTTTGGTCCCTGTCAGCAGCAACCCTGCGCCTCCGTTTACACTCAGTGCAAGCTGAGCAGCTCAAGCTCCCAGGAGCAGCCCAGCCATGGGTTCCCAAAGCCAGGGCTTTTGCCTGCTGCTCTACTTCTGTGCTCTCCCCAAACTGTTGAGACCAGGGCTTTTCCTCTCCCCAATAAAGCAGTCAGTTACTTCAGGTGCCTCTTGTGACATCCCTGATGAGGGACGTTTCCATTGGAGCTTTGTGTGCCAGCTCCTGCCTAGCCCCTGCCTTCAGTGGCCACTGTGGGCTGCCCACCAGAAACTAGGTTTCCTCAGCAAGGCCCCTCACTCCCATTCTTTGCTGTATAGAGTTGGGAAGGAGCACACCAGAGCCAGCGCTGCGGGGGCCCCTGTGGATGGCAGCCAGGAGCCCTGGGTGAAGCTTCACCTTGACCCTGGGAAGCCAGCTTCTGCATCTCCTAGTCTCTTACCCCTGAGCCCCTAGGTAGTTCAGAGAGCTCACGGGCCCTTCTGTGCCCTGGCCAGTCACAGGCTTTGAACCAGATAGACCTGGACTCAGATCTCACCTCCATTCTTGATGTTGTGACCTTCACTTCTGTCCACATTGTCTTCCCCCGAAACCCCTGCCTGCCCCCTCCAATTATGCCATCCTTATTGGACTCTGCTGGTTCCATTCCCTAAGGGCTTTGTGGTTTGGCGTGACCCCAGAACTTTGAACTGCCGTGAAGGGGCAGCCGAGGTTCTTGAACACAAGAGTTGGAGAGGCCTTCTCTGCCGCTGCGGCCAGCCGCCAGAGGACCCTGGAAGGGCTGGAGCTCTCAGCGAGGGGCATGAGGCCCAGGGCTCAGGTCATCACCGGCCAGCCCGATTTGGACCGGAGCTCGTGGGGAGAGGCAGGCAGCCAGGAATAAGTAATCCTCGTGGTGCTGGGGCCAGGGCCCAGAGGCTCTGCTCTCGGCGCTGTCCTTGACCCTTGCCCTCGCTCCTTTCCTTAGGGCTGAGCCCCAAAGCGCTGGCAGGCAGCCTCTTTTCCCTGCTCTTGTCAGCCAGGGAAGCACAGGGCCTCGGGCTCTCAGTGCCCCGGCAACCCTGGCACACATTTAACCCATGACATACAGAGGGAGACAGCCCAGAGGGCGGGCTGGGTGGTGGCAGCGCTGAGCCTGGCACCCCGGTGTCCCTTCACGGTCATGCTCTCTCCCTGACATCAGAGCCAGAATGTATAATCTGCATTTGAGAGAGAAGAGGGCAGGTTTCAGGGCCCAGGCCCAGCGCCGTTTCCCTTAGAGCCTTCTCACTGGTGTCTGGGGGCACGAGAATGCTGGTTGGGGTGTGGGTGGAGGAGTCATAGCCTCGGTTCCCTGAGATCCTCTCTGGCATAATTTTCAGTTAGGTTTCACCTTAAAGTAACCTCATATATCTGAACTAGGGATGTTTTTGTTTTTTAAAAATATTTTATTGAGTTTGTTATACATTTGTTCCACAGGACACAAGGAAATGAAAGGACTGTTTCCTTACAGGAAACAGGCAGAGAGCTGAGGAGGACCAAGATGAGTCGAGGGCCTTGAAGGGCGCATTCCTGGGGTAGACAGGGCGCCCCGTAAGGAAACTGGACTAGGGACTGTGTAAACCTGGTTCTTGCAGTGATTTGCCATGTGACGCTAGAGAAATCACTTTCTATTCTTATTTACCTTCTGGGTAATAAGTGAGGAGTGTGGGCTAATCTCATCCTCTGAGGACGCAAATTAGGAGAGCAGTGCTGTCTGTGGAGAGTTAGAGGCTAGAGCCCTTTCTTTTGTTTACCATTTGGTTATGTGGGCATTGCCTCTACTGCCAGCCTTGTCCCTTCTGGGACTTGGGGGCAGACCTGGAAGAGAGCGTGTGTGCATGTGTGCAATTTTATCTGCACATTATTTTTCCTCTCTGCAATTTCAGGGTCATGCTGAGGCAGCCTGGCGCCTGACAAGTGAGGGGAGCCTGCCAGGGGATTACTGCGAGCAGGAGCAAACAGCGAGACGGCAGGACGGCTGGCCCCCGGGGAGCAGGGATGGGCAGAGCAGCCTCTGAGTCCGGGCCAGAAGCACCAGGAAGGAGGCCTGGGCCCTGGCTGCGAGCTTGGCACATGTTCTGCTGACCTGAACTGGGATCAAAGCAGCACCCTGCTGAGCCGCAGCTGTGCCCAGGCCCCGAAGGACTCCATTGCAGCAGCAGCTCTACAACCCCTTATGAAACTGCAGCCGGCGCTGTGCCCATCGGGAGAAGGGACCTGTACCTCGGATGGGAAGTGGAAGAGCAGAACCTAATTCAAAGAGGATCTTGGTCTTGACAGCAGTTTTGCAACACCCATAGAGCATTCTGGTTTCTTCTCTCAGGGCTAGGGCCTGGTTCCCCTCCCCTGGCAGAGGGGTTGGGCCGGGAGGACCATCTGACGGGTGGATGTCTCTTGCATGGAATCAGTGCTGCCTGAAGCCCTCATGTTCTCTCTTGTGACTGGGATTTAAGGGCTTCCCTGCTGCAGGGGACGAGGGGCTGCCTCGGCATCTGCTCATGAACCACAAGGACCCCGACTACTCCAGACTGGACTGTTTCAAGCCACCAAAGAAGGGGGCCCCCACAGCAGGCAGCCAGCAACCCCAATGGACTAGAAGGCTGGAATGGACTGACCTCCCCCTCTCTAGGGCAGCGGGAGAGGCGGAGCACCTGTGGCCGAGCTAGTGACAGAGAGACCCAATGAAGCCATAAGCAGCAGCCCAAGTGGCTCAGGGACAGGAAGCCACTCCTGCCCACGTGGTTTCCCCTTACCCTGAGAGAGCACGTGGCTTGGGACTCCTGCTGCTGTCCCCTCTGCAGCACACGCCCTTATGCCCTAGAACAGGCAGGCCCCAGCTGTGGCTGGCCTGCCCGTGGGCTGGGGAAGGAGCGGCCACAGCGGCACCCGGCTGCCCGCCGGGCTGGCGGTCCAGCTTCCAGGGGCCTCGCACCATGAAGTGCTCCCTGCGGGTGTGGTTCTTCTCCGTGGCCTCCCTGCTGGTGTTCATCATGTCACTGCTCTTCACCTACTCCCACCACAGCATGGCCACCCTGCCCTACCTGGACTCCGGGACCCTGGGGGGCACCCACCGGGTGAAGCTGGTGCCCGGCTACGCCGGCCTGCAGCGCCTCAGCAAGGAGGGGCTCGCTGGCAAGAGCTGTGCGTGCCGCCGCTGCATGGGTGACGCCGGTGCCTCCGAATGGTTTGACAGCCACTTCGACAGCAACATTTCCCCTGTCTGGACCCGAGAAAACATGAATTTGCCCCCTGATGTCCAGAGGTGGTGGATGGTGAGAGAGCCGTGGCCTCTCCTGCCTCCCTTTACTGCTCCTCTCCAGGGCTCTGTCCCCCGGCCCCGTTTGGGAGTCACTCTGAGCCCCCTCTTGGGTTTGGGCTGTCCGTCTTCGGAGCCCCGGAGCCTTGACAAAGAAAGAGGCCCGTTTAACCAGAGCCGTCGGCTGGGATCACAGATTCTGAAGGGCAGAGTGAGCTTTGGCCTGGAAGGAGAGAGAGCTAATACTCTCTAGTGCCTGTAGGGGCCGAGCATAGACCAGAAATGCCTGCTGGACCAGGCAGGTGACGTAGACGAGAGAAGGGTCCGAGTGAGAAGATGGTGAGGAGTGAGGACCGTGACAGCAGGGAGAAGGCCTGCCTTTTACAAGGAGGCAGCCCCTCTCAGCTTCGGGAATTGTTGCAGTGCAAGGATACGACTCATCACTGCTGGATCTTCCGACCCTTCGAGACAGCCTCGAAGTCCAGCTTTGCTTTTTTTTATTTCCTAAAGTCCAGATTTTTTCCCCTCATATTCAGGGAAGCTGTGAGGATAAGCCCAAGGCTTATGCTTCCTGGCCCAGACTGTCAGATCCTAAGGCTGGGGGGTTGTCAACAGTGGAGGGGTCAGCGCGAGCTCCACAGGCCTTTCCTGTGACAACGTGGAGCCCTCGAAGGTTCCTCCTGCTGCTCATAGTTACAGCCTTCATTTTATGGGGAAAATCAAAGGTCAGAGAGTGCACAGAGCTTGTCCAAGGCCCCAGGTCCCCGTGGTGGCCGCCTAGAGCCAGAACAGGACTGCAGACAGAGGAGGACCTGTGGGCAGGCCTGGCCTCCTGCCTACAAGGATGGGCATTTTCAGCACCAAGCATGCTCCTGAGCTGAGATCCAGCGGAAGCTGCTTCTCCCCCCTGCCCCCCAGTGCCCCCCTTTAACCATGAACTTAGGAATTCTCATCTCAGAGCTAAGCTCTCTCTCTCTCTACGCTGAGTTCATGCTCTTGTTCTCAGGGGCCCTTCCTGTGCTCAGAAGAGGCAGAGAGGCAGGCCCACCCCACCCTCTGTGTATTCTGTGCCCCGAGACTGCCTGCTCGGCCACAGACCTGAGGGAGTACAGCGCAGAGCACAGGACATTTTAAAGCCCTAGTTTTGACCTTACCAGTTGGTGGCCCATAGGCCAAGGCCAGCCCACTCAGTATTTTTAAAATACTTGCAATAGTTATCAGCGTTTATGAATCAGGATATTTCACACGAAATTCACATTTTCACCTTCTCTTGAAAAATTAGAAAATTTGGTTCCTCTGGGCTCCTAGTCCCACATAGCGACACTTGACTAAAGTTATCCCTTATTGATGAATGAGTCCGCCTCCTGTTTGCCATAGGTCCCACCTGCCACTTCATTCCTGTGTGTCACCTGCCTGGCCCTGTAGGCATTTGAGTGCTGCCTGGGCCTCATTTTGTGGGTTTTAGCTGTGACTGGTGGTGGGACAAGCAGGGGACCAGTTCCATACCAGCTGTCCTGGCAGTGAGAGAATTTCTGTCCTCCTGCCTTCTCTGGAGGGCCCAGGGAGCAGCGTCACGTCCGCCATGAGTTATGCCCCGCGCAGCTTCTGTCACCCCCAGCCTACAGGCTGAGTTCCGGGGACACCCTCTGCAGACCGATGGGCAGTGAGCCCCTGCAGCTCAGCTGGGCTTTCCACATCACCTGCACCTGGAAATGGCCTCTTTGTGTGACTCAGGGCTGCCCTGAGGGGACAGTGGAGCAGGGGCCTCTTCCTATATGGGGAGCCCACCCGAGAAGCTTCTCTGCTCCTAGCACACGCCTGCAGGTCCCTGGAGAACATGCCTTGAGCCCGGAGCCCCTTCCAGGGCATCAGAGCAGCTCAAAAGGAGACTTCAGTGTTGTTGAGGGGAGGGTCTTCGCTGCGTAGAGAATTCCTGCTCCCTGACAGCCTGGTTAGGAGTCGTGTGTGGCTTGGACGCTGGAGGGTGAGGGCAGGGATGAGAGGCAGGCAGGAGTCCTTCCCTGTTTACACCTTCTCCCTTCCCCTCCTGTCTGCAGATGTTGCAGCCCCAGTTCAAGTCGCACAACACCAACGAGGTGCTGGAGAAGCTATTCCAGATAGTACCAGGCGAGAACCCCTACCGTTTCCGGGACCCCCAGCAGTGCCGGCGCTGTGCTGTGGTTGGGAACTCTGGCAACTTGCGGGGCTCTGGCTACGGGCCAGATGTGGATGGGCACAACTTCATCATGAGGTGAGCTGCGGGGAGCCTGAGGGTAGGCCCGGGGCAGGCCTTCTGGGGCATGGGCTGGACTCCTTGGCCCTGTCTGGCAGTGTAGGAGTTGCCAGCTGCTGGGGTTGCTATTGGTCTCTAACACCCAGAGCCTTCTGTGGTAGGTTCTCACTTTTGTTGGGGTAGATGGGGAGGCAGAATTCCCATTCTAGACTTTGCTTGACGCCTGTACTCAGTTTCCAACTCTGAACTACTCTGAAAAGAGCTGAAACTAGACTCTTGGCTGACTGCAGGTGAAAGCTCCCACCAGAGGCCCTGCTAACCGCCTGGTCCGCTTAGTAGTTGCACCAGGGGCGAGGGCTCCAAACCAAACCAGCACCTTGCTTGATAGTCACAGGTGATTCCTCCTGGAAGACTCATAGGAGACGGATGTCCTGGGCAGGAGAAGAGGCTGTCTGGTGCCTGCTCCGGGCTGCTGTCCCTTATGTCTCAAGGTTTAGATTATATGGAGGCTCACTCATTCAGTAAGACATTGGTGCCCAGCCTTGATGAGAGGAGAGCTGGGACAGAAAGGCTGAGGACAGAGATATAGAGCAAGAAGTCTGGGGGTGAACAGGGACTAAGAGGAGACTTGTGAGCTGATCATCAGCCGCTGCTTCTGCTCTGAACCTGTTTTCTGACTTCTTCGCTGGACTTGGGGACAGGAAATGCCGCCCGCTCCTTGGAGGAAGAGCCTTAAGAGTAAGATACTGAAAATGCCCAGTTTTCACAAAGCATCTCTTAGGATGAGCATCCAGGTTTCCCAGGAGGCGGAAGGAAGGGCTGTGTCTTAGAGACTGTTGCTATCTCCATAGCAACACCACATAGCAGCAATGTCTCTGAGGCTTTCCACATTCCTTGCAAAACCTTTCTTATGTTGAGAATGGTGGGATGTGGGAGAGGGTGAGTTCCATCCAGAAACTCAGAGCCACCTGAGATTCTTCTCATCGTCCAATCCTGGCACCCAGAATGCCAGGGAGGCAAGCTGGGAGCTGAAGAGGGGCCTCTCTTTACCCAGAGACGGTGGCTAAGATTGGGGAATCACTCCTGTGCAGCTCTAGAACACTTGGGAAGCCCAGGGACATGCTCTAAACTACCAGAAGGCCCTGCCTCCCTTGCCCAGCCATCTGCATCTTGGTGATGGCTGGGAAGCTCCAGGGTAGAGCACAACAGATGAGCAAAAAAGGCTTGGTTGCTATGACACCTGGGTGGCACCTGGTCAGGCCAGCTGCAGAAAGAAATTCACAGATGTTCCCTCACAGGGACTAGGCTTGATGTGGTATGTTGCAGTGGACCCCAGAATCTATTTGTGGAAGGGGTGACCCAGATGTTAATTGGCTGTCTGCTTCCCTAGAAGGAGCCAGTTAGCAGTGAAGGTGGCTCTTTGCTCATAGGCAAATCTTGGTTTGGAACCAGTGGGGAGGCCTCCCTTCCTGCAAGTAGGACCAAATATAAGACCCCACTGTGAGGGCCAAGCTGTGTTATGATGAGATGGTGGCTCTACCCAACTGCCTCCACCCCCAGCCGCCGCTGCCTCCTGAATGTCTTCTGAGCCCTGCTGACAGCTCCAAATGGAGGTGAGCTGGTCCTGCCTTAGCTTTTCTGCAGATAGAGCAGTTCCTGGCGTACCGTAGCCTTGCTGTAAATATGTGAATGAGTGGAAGGAACTAGGCAGCAAGAGCCCAAACCTTAGGCACGAATGTGTATCTCCCCTGCCTGCGCCCCTGCCCCTATGTGCTTCTTCGGCAGCTGGAGGCAGCCAGGGGCAGATAGAATTCTAGAATGCTTTGCCCTTGAGATACAGGGATACAGCTCATCCTCTCTGTCTTGCTGTGGCCTCTTTCCAGGGCTTGGCTTCTTCAAAATGAATCAGAACCTCAAAGCGAAATTCTGTCTCTGAATGCTCGCCATGTCCCCCTGTCTTGGAGACTCTGAAATATCTTCCAGGCTTCTCATTTGGTTCATTCCCAGGCTTTTGAAAATTGATGCCTGCCCAGCAAGTGGGAGGAACCTGAGAGAGGTGGAGGCTCTGCAGCAGGGCCCCCTGAAGAGCGGGGGGGGGGGGGGGGGGCACAGTGGTGCTGGCCAACAGGTCCAAGGAGGGACTTCCGCCGGAAGCTCTGGCTGCCAATTCAGTGGAAAAGGCAGATGGGGGGCTGCCTTCCGAAGCCAGCATGGGGCATCTGTAGCCCTTTGATGTTCAGGACCAGCTTGGTCTCCTCATTTCTGGTGACATGAGATTTGTTTCTTGAGTCCTCAGAAGATTTAAACTTGACCCCAGCTCCTGACGAGCCCAGGGCCCAGCCGACTTAAGGGTCACCAGCCAAGACTTCCGCTGCCTGCTGACCCCTTCTGTACCCCCGCAGCGGAGAAACACCATCCCTTTTAAGCCTTCTTCCCCGACCTTCTCTGTTCCTCACAGAAGTGAGGTATTACTGGGGGAAAAAAGAAAAAAAAAAAAAACATCAAATTTTTATACAAAAAAAATGAATTAACTCTCCCCAACCCTGTCTCCTGAGAGTAAGAATTATTAACAATTTTAATACCATTCCAGATTTTTCTATTCATATTCAAAAGTGTTTTTTCTTTTTCTTTATTGAAAAATAGTATACTATTTAGCTTTAAGTTTCCCTTTTCTGGGTTGTAACTCCCTCCTGCTGCACAAAGTAGGTATTCAAGAAATACATATTATAAGAAAAGAAGTGGGATACCTCACACTACTTGGTTTTTTCACCGAGTAGCTCTTGGACTTATTTCTTACCAGTACATGTAAATCTATTTCATTCATTCTGATGGCTGTATTCCATTATTTGGGCTAAAATATATTAACCAGTTCTTTATTGTTTGATTGATTGTACTTTTCACTATTCTAAGTGACATTTCAGTGAATATCCTTGTACACATGTTTTTACACATTTACACACCCATCTTATAGGTTGGGTTTCTGGAAATGGAATTGCTGGATCAAAGTGTACATCCATTTATATTTTTGATGACTACCACCAAGTCGTCCTCTAAAAATCGTGTACCAGTTTCTATGGCAGTTTCTTCTCACGTCAACCTCTTGTCCCTACAGAATGAATCAGGCGCCAACTGTGGGCTTTGAGCAGGATGTTGGCAGCCGAACCACCCACCATTTCATGTACCCCGAGAGCGCCAAGAACCTGCCCGCGAACGTCAGCTTTGTGTTGGTGCCCTTCAAGGCCCTGGACCTGCTGTGGATCGCCAGCGCCCTGTCCACGGGGCAGATCCGATTGTGAGCCGCCCTGTGGGCTGGGAGTGCAGTATGGGTGACGGGGCCACCTTGGGAGGAGCCTTCCTCGGGACTAGATCTTAGAATCCCTTTAACTGAATATTTTGGCCATGGGGAGCTTATGAGGAGAGAGGCAGAAGTAGAGAGGGCCCCACGGCGGGCGTTAGCTAAGGCCTGAGCATATTCTTTGTCAGTCCCTACATGGCTACAGCCAGCATATTGGTGGTGGAAAGGTGAGGAAAGAACAATCCCATTTTAGTCTCCTTTCCAGGAGGTGGTCCCTGACTGGCAGCTCTGCCTTCTGAGAACTTCCTTCTGGCCTATTGCCCTGTCACGGCCAGGAATCTCGGAAAATTCAGTTAAACCAAGTATTTTTTAAACAGCTTTATTGAGATATATAATTCACATACTGTACAATTAACACACTTAAAGTGTGCAATTCAATGGTTTTTAGTCTAGAGTTGTATGACTATCACCACAATTAATTTTAGAACAGTTTCATATTCTAAAGATGAAAATCTTTAATCTAAAAATCTAAAGACCTAAAGATACCCCTGTACACCTTAGTCATCACCCCCACTTCCTACACTTCCCGCCACGGCAGCCACTAATCACCTCTGTCTCACCATGGGTTTTGTGTGTATGCAGCAAAATGCAAGTAACTTAAAATTTACAGGGTGTTTTTTTTTTAGATTTTATTTATTTATTTTTAGACAGGTAGGTTGGGAGGGACAAAGAGAGGGAGAGAAACAATGTGTAGTTGCTTCTCATACCCCCCATACTGGGAACTTGGCCCACAACCCAGCATGATCCCTGACTGGGAATCAAACCAGCAACCCTTTGGTTTGCAGGCTGATGCTCAATCCACTGAGCCATACCAGCCAGGGCAAAATTTACAGTTTTAACTGTATAGTTCAGTAGCATTAAATACATTTTCATTGTTTTTCAAGCATCATCCCTACTCATCTGTAGGAAGTTTTTCATCATCTCAAATGGAAACTCTGTAGCTATTAAGTAATAACTTTCCATTCCTTCTTCCCCCCACCCCCAGATAACCACTGTTCTTTCTGTCTCTATAATTTGACTATTCTAAGTACTTCATATAAGTGGAATTATACAGTGTCCTTTTACATTTGACATTTCACTTAGAATAATGTTTTTCAATTTCATCCATGTTGTAGCATGTGTCAGTATTTCATTCATTTTAAAGGCTGACTAGTGCCCTGGCTGGTGTGACCCAGTGGACTGAGTGCCAGCCTATGAACCAGGGGGTCTCTGGTTTGATTCCCAGTCAGGGCACAGGCCTGGGTTGCAGGCCAGGTCCCCAGTAGGGGGTACTCAAGACGCAAATGCACATTGATGTTTCTCTTCCTCTTAAAAAAAATATGTGTGTGTGTATATATATATATATATATATGAATGATAATAAAGGCTGAATAGTATTCCCTTGGATGGATATGCCATATTCTGTTAATCCATTCATCTGATGATGGACAATTGTTTCCGTCTTTTGCCTGTGTATTTTTAAACACTGAAGTATAAGTTCCCATGTCCTGACTTTATGTTTAAAAGCTGAAATAAATGCTATCAAGTATAAATCCCATATATTCTTAGAAAAGGGAGTGTGGGTTATGGGTGCCATGGCTGGCTAATAGAGAAGGAGGGATTTGTGCCAAATATGGAGAGTAGGGAGAAGGTTGGTGTGGGCACAAGTAAGAGCACACATATGGTGGGTTTGAGGTGATTGCCTAATTCAAGTAGAGAATTCACAGCTGAGAGTTAAGGGAAGAAAAGTTGGGGCTGGCTTATGGAAGGCCCCAATGCATGTCTAAAACACCCTTATTTCATCCTGAAGGGCGAGGGAGCCATTGGAGGTTTCCGAGTGAGGTAGTGCAGTGATGTGGTGTGGGAGAGCAGTCTGGAAGCAGGGCGGCCTGTCGTGAGGCCGTCATCACTCAGGCCTGAGCAGGAGGAAAGGCATCCCTGGGCCCCATAGGGCCATCTAAATACTTTTTGTTTGTTTGCTTGTTTGCAGCACCTATGCCCCAGTGAAGTCCTTCCTTCGAGTAGACAAAGAAAAGGTAAGCTCCCTCCTCCGCCCCCTTCTTTATCCCCGCTTCAGCAGAAACAGTGCAGACCTGACTCCTGGTGTGCCAGGTCCTGTTGCTCAGGCATCAGCTAGTACCCTTCCAGAACCTTCAGTGTCCCCATCCATTGGTATGCCTGACCTCCGCAGAGGCTGCAAGGAACCAGGGAACACAGATGAACAGGTCCACAGGCAAGCATGGAGGAACTGGCAGAAGCTGTTCAGAGGCCAGCCTGAGTCTTAGGACCCCAGGAGCCCCTCATATGCCTGTCACATTTTCTTCACCCAGGTCCAGATCTACAACCCAGCCTTCTTCAAATATATCCACGACAGGTGGACAGAGCATCACGGGCGGTACCCTTCTACAGGGATGCTGGTGCTCTTCTTTGCCCTGCACGTGTGTGATGAGGTGGGTAGCCCAGTCTGGCGGTAAAATAGTGGGACCCATGGCACAGAAGGAAAGCAGCCCTTCTCAGGGCTTAGCGGTGCCTCGTGAGGGATGCGCTTCTGTGGGCAGAAACCAAGCGGCTTTGATTCCCAGTTTCTAGGCAGTAATGTGTAGCTCTGAATTTCCCAAACCTACCACTTTAATGATTTTACCAAATCTGGAATCACTTCATTTAAAAGTTAAATTTATTTACGAAGGAAATGTATTACCACTACCATAATTGATATTACTTGCCATAAAGTAACCAAAAATATAAATAGAACGGAGATAGTGTGATTGCCTCCCATAGCTGCGGTCCCCAGGCCTACCATCTTGTGTGTTAAAAACGGAAGTCATTCAAGGAACCTAATCTTGCTAGTGGGCAGGGCTACTGTGCCATGCACTTCAGTGCTCAAGCCCATCACACCCACTTTTGCCAGTAAATTCTTCAACGTATGGCATTGGGTACTTGACCAGCTTACAAATAAAAGTACTATTTTTTTTTTTTTAAGAGGAAGTTAGTAAGGGTTGGACTAGCCCTGAGCTGGGACGTTATTCTTGAAGCCATCAGAGGAGCAGAAGGAGAGCTGAAAAGGAGCAGCATTCTCCCTCTTGTCAGTGTCCTTAGCCCAGGTCCAGATGTCCCCTCTTCCCGTGCCTCCCACGCTGGCTCTGGGGATGGATTAGCAGCCGGCCTCCCGGGTTGTCACCGGGTTGCCATCGGGTCGCTGCAGCTCCTTTCTCCCCCATTACCACCCGAGGCTCTCCTGTGTCCTGTCCAACATGGTCCTCTACATGGAGTGACCTGCGCCGTCCTCCCCTACAGGTGAACGTGTATGGGTTCGGGGCCGACAGCCGGGGCAACTGGCACCACTACTGGGAGAATAACCGGTATGCGGGTGAGTTCCGGAAGACCGGTGTGCACGACGCCGACTTCGAGGCCCACATCATCGATATGCTGGCCAAGGCCAGCAAGATCGAGGTCTACCGAGGCAACTGAGAAAGGCCTGGCCGCGACCCTTTCGGCCCAGCTGCCAAGTGCCGGTGCATACTCCGGGTGGGGACTAAAGGCTAGCCCCAGGGCAGCATCCTCGGCCTGGCGCGATGGTCTCCAAGCAGTCCCAGGACACGGTCTGGACCGAACAGCGAGCGCCGGCTGTTCCCTGCCAATCACGAGACACTGGGGGCCTGGCACCAATCAACGCTGCAGTCAGGCGGAGCCTATCTTAACCAATCATGTGACTCAGCTCCTTGAGTCAATTTCCGGCGCCCGCCGGGCGTCTCCTCCAATCAATGGCCTTTGGAGGCGAACCGGTGGCTTCTCAAACCCCACTCGCCTATGCTTTTGGGTAGGATTTTGTTTCACGCTTTTTAAGGAGTAGAGGTGGTTTCTGACCTCTAAGTACTTTATTCAGGCTTGGTTGGAGCTGTTGCAGTCACTTGCGGGCCTGACCCCCGCCAAGGACGCCGAGAAGGAAACAGAGGGGAGCGGCAGCGGCTCGGCTTCCCCTCCCCGGGGTCCCTCGTGGCCGAGGGGGCGCCGAGGAGCGGGCCAGGTGGTTTCTAGGAAGCGCTCTTTCACCCCAGAGAAAAGCCAGAGCCCTCCCGAAATGCTCCAGGCCTCCGAAAGAGTTTTAGACCCCGTATTTCTGTTATCAGGCCGAGATGGGTGTTAACCCACCAAAGAAATGCAGTGAGAACCCAGAGGGCGCGTGCGTCCCCTCATCCTCCCACCTCCCCTTCTCCGTCTTTGGCCACCCTATGGAATGGCCTTTCTGACCAGGGCATTTAGTGTCTCACTAGAAAACGAATTGTGTTCACCCTTTTGTGGGGGGGGCAGAATTCGCCTAGGGCCTAACTCTGGAGCATAGGTTTAAAGAACTGGGCAGGGGACAAGGAAGCCCCCTCACATCAAATGTAAGGTGCTTCTCTCTCACATGTATCCTTGGCCCCTACTGTTCGCTACAACCTTTAATGTCTCTCCTTAGGCCCTGGGCCTCCACACCAGCCTACTTGCTCTGGAAAAAGAAAAAAAGAAAAAAAAAATCTTGCCCTGGGACTGATTGGGGCACTGCTGCTTTTCTCATTCAATCTCTCGCTTTTCTTCCTCCATCTCCCCCCCTTCTCTCTGTCTCACACACACACACACATGCACGCACAAACACACATGTCTGGCTGGCTCAAAAGAGGGAGCATACATGTAGGGGGAAAAGGCTGGCGATGAGGAGCCCAGCTGCCTGGTGCATGCACCTTCTTCACCCACCACCCCAAAGAGGAGTAGGAAACCTCTTGCTTGGGGGTGCAATTTGCTTTGGGCTCATAATTTAGTTAACCTGAAATTCCCAGATATGGCTGACCAACAAAGATTCTTTAAAAATTCTGCACTGGCCATGGAAATAGCCAGGAGCCTCGCTGGGGAGGAGTAGACTTGCCCCTCTGCATGCCTCCTCCCCGGCCCATGGGTCCCGTCCTTCCTGCTCACCTACTGCCTTCTTGCTCTAACTCACTCTCCATTTCCAGCTCGGGAATGGGCTGGGAAGCTAACAACCAGGGATTACATCTGGAAGCTACTTGCATGACTGAACCCAGCTTAAATTCCTAGAGGAAGCTGCTGATGGTATTCTCACCCTTCAAGGTTGGAGAAGTGTAGGAGGGGAAAAAAGCTTCCGTGAAGCTTCCAGACCACTAAGAGGACCCCCCACCCTGCCCAGCAGTGACAACACAAATACCATACCACCCTTTTTCTTAGTGAGTTGGTACCACCAAGCAGCCTCCTGGCCATTGGAGTAGTTCCTGCAGCTGGCTGAGGGAACAGTAACCAGGAGGGTATTAGAAGAGGGTTGGAGCGGAGCAGTGGACACCCCCAAAAGTTAATATATTGAGAATTTAGTTTGAGTCTGTACCTTCCTAATTCCAAAAGTAGGTAGAATAAAGAATGGGGATGGATTTAGGGGGTGGCCTCGGGTGGATTGCCTCTCAGGGCCTCCCCTGCCACTCTGGAGAGCCAAGGCACCAGCCACTCTTGCCCATCTCATCTCAGTGCTTCCTGAAGAGGCTGTTTTGAGTGTTTAGAAGATGAAAAAACAATGGAATTATGCCAAACAGTATTGAGCAGAATAATTTATTTCTTTTTCTGTTCTTTTTTGTTTTAAAACATTAATAAGTCCCCGTTCTGAAAGAGCTAGGTCCCAGCATCCAGCCCACATCTCCTTTTCTGCAATAGTTATTTAAACAAATGTATTTTTATTTTCTTTCCTTTCTCTCTTTCTGAATTAAAAAGAACAGAAACATTGTATAGTCGTTTGCCTGTTTTGAAATGTTTCACTGGGGAGCTGTGCCCGAGCAATGACTAAGATTGTTGGAGGCATGCTTGAGTGGGGGTTGGGTTGGCTCCCCGACACCTTCCCCTTATACATGAGGCCTCCCAACCCTGGACCACTCGCTATGCCCTTGGGAGGGTGGTCCTTGACCACTGTCCTTCAGGGTACCCAGATGAGTAAGCAGGGAGGAGGCTGTCTACTGCCAGGGGTCAGCATAGCACGCAGATCCAGCAGGCACTGGCATGGGGGCTTTCCCCTCCATTTCCAGGCTCTCGGGAACCTCGCATGATACCATAGGTGTGGGTTGGCGGGAAGTCAGCAGTATGGTAGGAGCAGGTGCCACAGGCTTCTGAGATACCTGTCCATGTTATTTCCTGGGGCCATCTGGACCCACTCGAGCCTACTTCCATTATGTTATGGAATGCCACTGAACCAGTTTTATAGTTTGGCGGGTCAGATAACATGGACCTTATGATGGACCACTTAGGATCTATAGTCACTTGGTGTCCCACAGTTCAGTTTCTACCAATGCCCAAAGAGTTGCTTTTCAAAAGAATACTTTTTGTTGGAGGAGGGCATTGGTCTTTACCTAAAACCCTAACGCTCTGGTCTGTAGTTCTGTTTGGAGTTGTCAGAGACACTCCAGTAGCATTGGGTTGGCTGAGTCATAAGGCCTGGTGGCAGGATGGGGTGGGCATAGCCTGGACTGCTGAGAGCCATTTTTGTCCAGGCCTCCTACTCAAAGCTGGCTGCCTTATGTATCATAACTGGTTGCAGCAGCACTCCCTAATGTATCTGTTGCCTCCAAAACCAAGAGCTCCACCAAATCATGTCTTTTGCTTTTCTCCTTTATGTTGGCCAAGGACTGTGTTGCTTTGATCCAGCAAAGATACCACACCTGGAACCACAGGTTGGCATTAACAACTTGATTACATTTGCAGTAAGATACTGTCATTCTCCATGACTCAGACGGTGAGTAAATGGGACTAGGAAGAGAACACCCAACGCTGTATAGGTCAGGTTTGATGGCAGCACCGATCTCTGCAGATCCTGTGGAGATGTGGTACTGACTTTTGACCGATTATCTTGGAGATAGTTTCAGGGACTTCTTTGGCCCATCCCATCATAATCACCCTCACTTCATAGGTCAGGTTGCCAGTATGGGGATTTTGCCAGGTAGAAAATATCTCTTTTCCTTTTCGGGACTGAGGAAATTACATTAAAGTGGGTCAATGGTCTCATTAGACCTGCCATTAATTGGACTTCGACCAGAGCTCCAGCTATCACTTGCCATAATAAGCTCTGACTCTGATTGGCGGACCACACTGGCACTTGGGTCTGAGAGCCTGTACCTGATAACTCCTTCAGGTCCTGGTGTTTCCCTTTTCCCCAGTGCTCTGTCACTCTGGGAAACAGGTCCTTCAGGAAAGGCTTGGGGATAGACTCACCTCTGAGCTATGTTAGAGGGTCACTCCTTAAGACCCTTGGAATTCCCTTGAAAAAGGGGCTTCAGATGTGACCTGAATTAGGTCTGGGAACTGGGTAAGAAGCTGTGAATCCCCATCATTGTGACTCAGGTTTCTTAGCACCACTAAAATTTTCCCTTCTACATACACTAGGTACCTTAGTAGGCTGCCCAGCATCTATTCAATATTTCATTTCTAAGGACCCGAATGGTCAATGAACCACTGTCCCAAGTCCACATTAAGTCAAAACTCTAATCACCATACTGTGGTTGCAGTGAATGTGCCTACCTGTCTCAGGTAGTTAGGTATGTCTTTCTGGCTTTTATTTTACTGGGATCCCATTTTTCTCTGACTTACAGATGACAACCACTGCAGAGGTGCTCAACAATATTGGTGCCCAAATCATAAATGCATTATTAAAATTAATTTTTAAAATGCAAAATACAAAAACATATAGCTTAGCCCTGCCCCGTATGGCTTGTTTGGAGTGTTGTCCCATAACCAAAAGATTGCAGGTTCAATGCCCAGTCAGGGCACATACCTACGTTGTGGGTTTGATACCCAGTCTAGGTGCAACTGGGAGGCAACTGATCGATGTTCTCTCCCATCAATGTTTCCCTCCCTTTCCCTCTAAAAGCAATGAAAAAAAAGTCTTTGGGTAAGATAAAATAAGTAAAAACATATAGCTTAATGAATTGTTATTTTTTAGAAATTTATTCAGCAAAGATAGAATAATGTATAATTGATATAGATATAGACAGGATTATATAAATGTGTATATAATTTCTGTGGTAAAGGCAAACAATGAACAATTTCCACTGCCATTAGGATACCAAAATTGACTGAAGAAAATGAAAAAAGAGGTGGTTGCACATATTATATGGGAGAATTAGAAGTGCTAGATTTTTATTTTGCCATCTTTATTGAAATATAATTGACATGTAATATTGTGTAAGTATATAAAGTATACTACATAGTGATCTTATATGTATATATATTACAGAATAATTACTATAATGTTAGTTAACTCTTCCATCACCTCATATAGTTAAATTTTTTGTGTGTAAGGAGAACTTTTAAAATCTACTCTCAAACAACCCAATTAAAAAATGGACAAAGGACCTCAATAGACACTTCTCCTAAGAGGACATGCAAATGGCCCATGGACATGTGAAAAAATGCTCAACATCACCAGCCATCAGAGAGATGCAAATTCAAATCACAATGAGATATCACCTCATACCTGCCAAAATAGCTATCATTAATAAATCAACAAACAACAAGGGCTGGTGAGGATGTGGAGAAAAGGGAACCCTAGCGCACCGTTGGTGGGAATGCAGATTAGTGTAACCACTGTGGGAAACAGTATGGAATCTCCTCAAAAAATTAAAAATGGAACTGCCTTATGGCCCAGCAATTCCACTGCTGGGAATATACCCTAAGAATCGTGAAACACCAGTTCAAAAGAACGTATGCACCCCCATGTTCCCAACGGTGCTATTTGCAATAGCCAAGTGTTGAAAAGCCCAAGTACCCATCAGTGAATGAGTGCCTTAAAAAACTGTGGTACATTTACCACAGTGGTAATACTACACAGCAGAAAGAAAGGAGGAATTTCTGCCCTGGCTGCTGTGGCTCAGTGGATTGAGTGCTGGCCTGCAAACCAAAGGGTCACCAATTCAATTCCCAGTCAGCGCACATGCCTGGGTTGTGGGCCAGGTCCCCAGTAAGGGGTGTGTGAAAGGCAACCACACATTGATGTTTCTCTCCCTCTCTTTCTCCCTCCCTTTCCCCTCTGCCTAAAAATAAATAAATAAAATCTTTAAAAAAAAAAGGAGAAAAGGAATTCCTACATTTTGTGACAGCAAGGATGGAACTGGAGACTATTATGCTAAGTGAAATAAGCCAATCAGCAAAAGACAAATACCATACGACCTCATTTAGAACTGGAATCTAATGAACAAAATAAACTAACATGAAAAATAAAACTAGAGACGTGGAAACATGGAACAGATTGAGAGTTGTAGAAGGGAAGAAGTGAGGTGGGGAATAGAGGGAAGAAGGGGAAAGGATTAGTCAAAGGACATGTATGAATGGCTCATGGATGTGGACAACCGAGAGGGGATTGACTGTGGGGGAGAGGGGTGGGCTGGGTGGAGGGGGTAAAAGAAAAAAATTGGGACAACTGTAAGAGAATAAACAGTACAAAAAAATAAAATCTCTCTTAGCAACTTCCAAATATAGGAAATTATTTGTTAACTGTATTTGCAAATATTGTTAACTATAGTCATTTATCTTATAATTAGAAGTTCGTACCTTTTGACCGCCTTCATCCCCCCACCAATCTCTGTCTCTGGCAAGCCCAGTCAGCGCTCTTGTTTCTGTGAGTTCATTCATTTTTTTTAGATTCCACATACAAGATCATCCAGTATTTGTCTTTCTCTGTGTGATTTATTTCACTTAGCATAATACCCTTACGGTCAATCCAAATGACAGGATTTCCTTCTTTTTGCTGAAAAAAAAAATGTCTCTACATTTTCTTTATTCATTCATTGGTGGATGCTTAGGTTGTTTCCATGTCTTCCATGTAATAATGCTGCAACGAACATGGATGTACCAATATCTCTTTGAGACAGTGATTTAATTTCCTTCAGACATGTACCAGAAGTGAAATTGTTGGGTCATATGGTAATTCTAAATTAATATGCAAAACCATGAAGCTGGACCCCTATCTTACATCACTCACAAAAATTAACTCCAAATGTATTAAAGAGGTAAATGTAAGGCCTGAAAGCACAAAACTACTAGAAAAAAAAAACAGAGAAAAGCCCCTTGACATTGATCTGGCAATGATTTTATGGATATGATACATAAAGTACAAGCAAAAATAAACAGGTGGGACTATCAAACTAAAAAGCTCCTGCACAGCAAAAGAAACAGTCAACGAAATGGAAACACAACCTATGGAATGAGAGAAAGTATTTACAAATCACATATTTGATAAGGGGTTAATATTCAAAATATATAAGAAGAAACTCCTACAAGTCAACAGCAAAAAGAAAAAGAAAACAAATCTATTTTAAAATAGCAGAGGATCTGATTTCTCCAAAGAAGATATTCAAATGGCCAACAGGTACATTAAAAGGTGCTCAGCATCACTAATCATCAGGGAGATGCGAATCAAAAACAGATTTACGATGATGGCTATCATCAAAAAGATTAAAGATAAGTGCTGGCAAGAATGTGGAGAAAGGGGCGCCTGTGTGCACTATCAGTGGGAAAGCAAACTGGTACAGCCCTATGGCAACAGTATGAAGATTCCTTAATGAATTGTTTTAGTATGAGCACACATGTAACCACCACCCAGGGTGTGCGAGCAGACCAGAGGCCTCCCCACTGCGTCTTCCTTGCCAAGGACAACCCCTTCCTTCCCTGAAGGTGACCACTATCCTGACTTTCCATATTCACTTGAGTCTATTTCTGGATACTCTATTAAGTTTCATTAGTCTGATTGACTAGACCCAAGTCCATATGGAAATTTAGTTTATAATAAAGATGGCCTCTTGAATCACTTAAGAAAAGATAGACGTTTAAATAAATTTTATTGAAATAATTAGACAACCATTTGGAAAAAGATAAAATTAGATGCCTACCTTAAATCATTCACCAAAATGCCGAATGAATCATGAATCAACTAAATGCAAAAAATAAAATCCCAAAAATGGTAGGTCTTTGACATCTTCAAACAGATCACATATATCCTTGTATATCAGCTTTGTAGTTGGTTTTTGGATTCACATTTTTTTTCATGCTCTATAGTTTCCCATATTGCTAAAAAAAGGGAGGTTTTTCATCTTTTTTTGTTTATTTCAAATATTTTGTTAAATCTCCCCTTCTGATGTAACTGCTCTCATTTTATGTGTCCAGGTGAGTTTATACCTTTTTTATTCCTTCCCTATTTCATGAATGATAGCGAGGTCATGAGAGGGAAAGTTAAGTGTGATGGTAAAGCATCTAATTAGCAGACATCTTCTTTGATTCCCTCTGCCTCTCTCCACACAGTTGTTTTTTTGTGGTTGCTTACTTAACCCCTCTCTGTCAATGAGGAGGCTCTTTAAATCACTGAGAATTGAAGGCTGTTCTCTCTTCCGAAATAGTGAATCGAGAAGCTGCTTGGGAATTTTGCGTACGTGTATGGGATGTGGCTTACCTACCATCTGGGCGGGCATTAGGGTTGCTGGGCAGGAAAGCAGCCATTCCATGGCCTGTGGGGTGGGTTAACGATAAGCTAGGTTATATTACTAAGCACCCTTCAAGCTCCCAGGGGCTTAAAATAACAGTACATTTTTACTCTCGCGTCACGTTTTCATCAAGGGGCTGTGCTCATCATGGTCACTCAGGGACCCAGGTGGACACTGGCACCATCTGTGGTGGATCTGTGGCCTCGGGGGAAGGGGAAGAGAATCTGGTGAGCCACACGCTGGCTCCTATAGTTTCTGTCAGGTTCCAATTTCTTGATATCAGAGAAGTCCCATGGCCATGCCTCCGTCTGGTGCCATGTTGGGTAGTACAGTCTACAGTAATACAGTCTACAACAGAGGGCTCTTTGGAAGGGGTGGGTGAAGATACACCGGGGCTGGCATGCTGGCTGGATGCCAGGGGAAGGGAAGGAGGCGGTGGAGTACTTTCCCCACCCCAGGGACCGCTGCAGCCTGCCGTTCTGCAGACAAGGAACTGCTTCCTGTGGCATGTTTGGCAAGGTAAGAAATCATTCCTTGCTAAGGTGAGGGGAAAGGTAAAATCCTAAAGCTACTCTAAGAATCAAATTATTGCTGTCTGAGTGTGAATTAGGAATCAATGTTCCTTCTCACTGCCCTTCCCAGAAAAATCACAGCTTCTGCAGCAAGCCTTGCCCGGGTGACAACTAACCCACATAAACGCAAGAAAATGCCACCTCCCCCCATGCTTGCTGCGCCGTGGGTATCATGACCAGCTGGTCCCTCTGAGAGTACAGAATTCACACCTTCCCTCTAACGGGGGGCGATGCTCTTGAGAACAGTGCAGGCTTTCGGGCAGCACGGCTTCTCTCCAGGGAGGAGGCGTGGTGAAGTGGGAGGACCGTACGGTGCCTGTCTGCATTCAGATGGATCTGAGTTCAGTCCTCCCTATAACTGTCTTTTCTTTCTTTAATGAAAAACAATACACATTCATAACGAAAATAATTCAAACAATTCATTATAATATAGAGTCAGTTATGGAAGGCCTTTGGCAATTTTTTTAATCTGTAATTTGTCATGAAATTGGCAAAGGGACCCCACAGAAGGAAAAGAAAGCCAGATGCCCTTGAACCGATGTTCCTGTCTCCCAAGCTGTGTCCCCACAGCTCTTCCTGCGAACCTGTCTTCATGAAATATCACGCTAAAGACCACTTAAGGGGACAGTCTGGGATCTAAGCTTTCTTTGCTATAAGTGAAATAACTAAATTTTAAGACTTGAGCATATTATTTTTTAAAAATATCAGTCACCTTAACCAAGTGGTCAGTCTTAACATCGCCATTCTATACTTGTGAGACCAATTTTCCATCCAGAATTCCAAATGATTTGTGTAGCTACTCCACCCTCAAGGAGGAGGAGCAAGAGGCCCACTCCTTAGATGTGCACTGTGCACAGTGACTTCCCTCCAAAGAGTAAAGTATGCAAGGGGGGAAGAAAGAAACCTGACAAACACTGCCTCAACCAGGTCATCGAGGTCAACATCAGTGACTTCGATGACACTGTTGACCCTGAGGACACGGATGTTACATTGACCATATGTGCCTTTGATGTGATGTGATGAAAATAGAACTGCACCTCTGTGGTTTTTCTCCCCTAAATCTATAACCCCAGTCCCATCATGAGAACATCAGAGAAACCCCAAGAGAGGAGCATCCTTCAGAATAGCTGACCCATGTTCTTCAAAATTGTCGAGGTCATCAATGACCAGGAAAGTACAAGGAACTGTCACTGCTCAGAGGAATCTAAGGAAGTTCCTACGTGACAACTAAATGTAATATGGTGTCCTGAACGAGTCCCTGAAATAGAAGACTGTAGGGGAAAACTGGGGAAATCTGAGTATGTACCAGTATCAGCTCATTAATAAATGTATCATGCTAAATAACACTAGGGGAGACTGGGTGCAGGGGGATATATGGGAACCCTCTGTACTATCATCTCAATTTTTATGTAAATTTAAAACTGTTCTAAAAAATAAAGTCTAAAAAATTATTATTTTTAAATGGAAAGAGTCGGGGAGAAAAGTGTCCAGTAAAGTGAACCAAACACATTCACTTTAGACTTTATGGGAGCAAGAAATAGTTTTATTGTGTGAATCTACTGAAATTTATTTTATTCTTGTCCTTAAATCAAGGATATTATGATTGAAATCTGTGATTCTCATTGAGTTTATTTCTATGACTACCTTTTTCTTTCTTTTTTTTTTTTTTACTCCTCACCCAAGGTTATATTCATTGATTTCAGAGGAAGGGAGAATCATCAATGTGAGAAACACTGACTGGTTGCCTCTCTATGTGCCCTGAACAGGGATCGAACCCCCAATCTTTTGGGTAGGGGATGACGCTCCAACCGAGTCATGTGGCCAGGGCCTACCTTCGTCATTTCTAGAATTTCCAATCCTGTTTTATTTCTGCCCAATGGTATGCTGGTAAACTGCCCCATCCAAAAACAAAAAACCCCCCTCTGATTTGTAGCATCTGCTGACCTCTGTGGTGTGTAAATACTCCTAGCATGGCCCAGTTTTGAGCCACCAGTGAACTAACAGTTAGCACTAGTGAGCTTCAACGTGCTACTGCTTTTGTCTAAAAAATCTCTTGCTCTTGCCCTGACCAGTGTGACTCAGTTGGTTGGGCATCATGTGCAAAGCAAAAGGTCACTGGCTTGATTCCCAGTCAGGGCACAGCCTGGGTTGCAGGTTCCACCCCTGGTAGGGGTGCGTGAGACAACCAATTGATGTTTCTTTCTCCCCCTTTCCCTTCTCTTTAAAAATAAAAAACATTTGTTGCTCTGTTTTAGTAAAATGTATTTTCTCTCTTTGAGCATAGAAACATACATCAAGTCTCTTATCAGGCCATTCCATAAAATAAATTTTATCTGGGGTGAATTTATTTTGATGTTGTTTGCAGTCTTTCTTAGCATTGAATTTCTTCTATCCTCACAGTCCACAAATGGGTTTAGCAGTTGACTCCATCCAGCTAACCCACTCCTCTGGCCCTTGTTCTAGCACCAGGCCTCCTGGTACTTGGTGATCTGGGGATATCAGACTGGACAGGCAGTCAACTGAGCTGCTTGCTAGTTACTGGTGGCAAGGGATCCCCCAATCCAAGTTCTCCTGCTGCCTTTCTGGGCCCAAGTTTTAGCAGAGCCCTCTTGTCCGGCCAGGGTGCAGGCCAAGTTCAGTCCAGCTCCCTCCCTGCAGCGAGCCGTTTCGGTCCGGCCTTGTGGACAGGGCTTCCAGTCTCCTCCACAGACCCTAACAGCCTGTAGCCACTCCATTTCTGGACTGGAGCCCAAAGCTTTTGGCTTCAGCCACGCTCACCATTTTGCATCTTTGCCCCATTGCTAGACCACAGAAATATTCACCTTGTTTTTGGCTCAGATGGTCTTTTCTGTTTTCTACTTTTCTGTATCACTGTTGTTTTGGAGTCAGCACGGGCATCACTTCACCAGAATACTGGCACTCCCTCTTCCCTCCACTGCCTCCTTCCCATGCCCTGCCTGTGTCCTTTAGGAGCGCCCACCCACCTCACCTGGTCCCCGGCCTTGCTGGAATTTGCTCCCTTTTCAACCACAACCTTTCTTTTCAGAATCCCTTCCCCCACCTCCAGCTGTGGCTTGCATCTGCCCCTCACACAGACATCTCCCTCTCCCTCATATCCATTCCCGTCGGGGCCCTTTGTATCTCTCCACCCCCCCAGTCACCATGGCTCTAGCCCACACAACACAGCTTTGGCACCATTTACCTCCTAACATGACCATGATCACTCACAGCCAATGAGCAGAGCAAAGCATTTTAAGACCTACACAAATTCAGAAAATTTACTGCCCAAGAAGTGCCACTGCAGGAAACTAGACTAAGTAATTTGTAATACTGAGAAAGGACAAGCTTTTCTAGCCATGATATAAAATCCGTATTTCTTAAAATATCAATAAAATGTAACATTAAAATTAAACTTTTGTGTAGCAGTAAGAAAAAATGTTTGTAAAGACAAACTAGGAGAACATGTACCACTCAAGACAAAGTTTAATTTCCCTAAAATAGAAAAGTGGCTAAAAATTATTAAAGATTGACAATCCAATAGTAAAATGCTGAGACAAGTATGGGCAGTATCCCAAGAGAAAATACAAATACCCAATACACTGAAAATTTGCCAAACCTCACAAAATACAAAACAAAAAAGCAATGATGTAATCAATTTTTGCTGTTCAGCACGGCAAAGTTTTAAAAATTAGTACTGTACAGGGCTGGCAAGCAGTTATGAAAATAGGTAGTATTTTTGTATAATTGCAATAACATAAGTTGATAAAAATCTTTGGCAAACTAACTTAGCAATGTATTAAAAGGTCAGACGTCCCTACTCTTTGACTCAACAATTCTACTTCCAGGAACACGTCCTAGAGTGAGTCTCCGCAGGGCGCAGAGATGAGCAAGGGTATTCACGTGGCACTGTGGCAACGCAGCACAGTGGAAACCACTGTATGCCTATCGCTAGAGAAGCCATGAAATAAATGCTGTGCAGCTACACGCTGGAATGATGCCAAAGTATGCTGGTAAGTGAAATGGCAGATTGCACAAGAGTGTGAATAGAATGTTCACATTTTTAAAAAGTGGGCTGATATATGCAAACAGAAGGCAATATATTGAACATTCACCAAGCTGCTAGCAACGGTGACCCCAGAGAGGTGGGGACAGAGGACACTTGCACTGTATTTATATAGGTATACACTCAAATATATATTTTATGAGCATATATTAGTCTAATAACCAGAAAAATACAAATAAAGACAAATCAAGATTAGTAAAATGTTTCATAATTATTTAAAAATTTTTTAACATAATGAGTGATGGGCATAGCTCTAATTAATTTGTCCATATTCATACCATGTATGAATTAAAGTAACCAACAGACCCACTATTACAGATGAACAGCATAATCCAAGTTTCCATAACTTCATTTCCGGACTGTGCTGCTCACCTGCAGGCACAGTGTGACACCCATGGGTAAGAGCCAACCCACGTGCCCGGGCATTTGTCAGAAAACTGCCCAGTCTGTCTCCAGGCTGCCATGACGACTACCGGCTGCCTGAGCGGAGAGACAACTGCAAGAGGAGGTCAGGCCCAGATCCTTGAAGGTGTCACCTACCCTCGCCAGACAAATCCCTCCAAAGGTTCAATGACTTCCATGTTTCTCACCCAATCTGAGGTTTATAAAAGTAGCCATGATGCTCACCCAGGGAGAAACACGGGTATCTCCTCTGGCACAGAGAACAGAGGTTAAAGGGATTATTAACGGGAACATCTCTGGATTTAGGAAAAGGAAGATGGCCCCCAGGGCAGGAGACACTGGTGACTGATCTGTCAGGGACAGAGGAGAGGGACAGCTCACAGGCCTCACTGCCGGCAGAGGCTCCCTCATGTCACAGCCACGTGCCATCCACGTGGTGGGCCTCTCCTCCACTCTATCATTTCTTCAGGGGCTGAAGGTTGGTCCCAAACCACTAGCAGGAAAATATGAAAGAGATCCTGGGGCCGGTGATTACCAATAGTGACCAGATATTATAAAGAGAGGGGAAACGATGGCTTTAAAAAATGAGGGGAAAAGGACTAAATTTTCCAAAATGCAAAATTTTCCTTCTACCTTTCCCAATTATTTGCATAATTTTTGTCAAGTCCAAACATAATTTAAAATGAGGTAGGTAGTTTCTCTCTACGCATGTCTTTATCTTTTGCTGACTGTCCAGGCCTGCGTTGTGAACGGACGAGGTTCCTGGGCAGGGACTGGTGGAGCTCCTCAGTTGGCTATCTTCTCAATCTCGTCCAAATCATCTGTGTCCAATCTTTCTATTTTCTTATCTGAGGAAAAATAAGAAAGATTCAGAGAGAGAGAGCAACAAAGGCCCACTGTGGAGACACGCACCTAGGGGAGGCAGCACAGCAGGGAGACAGGGAGGACAGGTCTCTGCCCGATCGAGCCCTGCCACTGGCCACATCCTTCCTTCCTTTAACCCCAAGGCTTCTGGTACCTGAGGAACAGACACTGACCGCAACAGTCAGAGCCCGAGGCCCCTCAGCCTGGCCAAGGGGGACCTGTCATTCGAGTCCCCGACGCTGACTCTCCAGGTCTGCTCTTTGAGGACGTCCATATGGCAGGGATGGAGGGCAATGTGGACAGGGACAAAGCTGCTTTAGGGGTCACAGGAAAACTACCCTATCGCCACCCCCGGATCGGCCCCTCTAAGGAGAGGGCCCTGGCACAAGACACTCCCAGGGACTCACTAAAATGCTCCTGGATTCTGTTGAGGATGTTCATGCTGTGCTTGCTGTCGACCATGTTCACCGCCAGGCCCCTCTTGCCAAAGCGGCCAGTGCGCCCGATCCGGTGCAGGTAGGTCTCGTTGTCGGGGTTCCCGTCCTTGTCCACGGGAAGGTCGAAGTTGATGACAACAGACACCTGTTCAACATCGATACCTGCACGGAGGAGAGTTGGAAGACGGTTAAGGATGGGAGGAAAAACATCCCTGCCTCACCCACAGTCCGGCCACCAACTTCTGATGGAAGGAGCCTGGCTGGTCCGACTCTGCGATTCAGGGGACAAGGGGCATGTAGCAGAACCCAGAGGGAAACCACAGAACTTGGGCAGGTGCTAACAAAGTTAGGAAGTCAGTAGGAGAGCCTCCGCTGGACACAAGTGTCTGGAGATGCGGCTGACACCTCAGCGGCTGCCCCAAGAAGGACAGGCGCCGTTCTCAACCGGTCGGGTGCCTGCACTTTCCCTTCCACCCGGTCCGGACTCCGGGCTTCTGTGGGAGTTCTCAGCTGATGAGGGAACCCAGTCTGTCCTAGAGAAAAACGTCACCACCAACCCCGCCTGATCTCTTCCGAACCGTCTGAGTTTTTCACATAGAGGATTTCTCTCGCTGCCCCGAGTCTGGCAGACCGCGACAAGTTCTCTGCTCACCACGGGCACACACGTTGGTGGTCACCAGCACCTTCTCTTTGCCCTCTCGGAAGCGCTCGATCACCGCAGCCCTCTGCTCCACCATCATTTCACCGCTCAGCAGAGCCACCTGGTGGCCTTCTTTGGAGAGCTCTGCTGCCAGCCAGCTGGCTGTTTTGCGGGTCTGAAGGAAGAAAACATTTGAGAAATGAAGTTCCCTGAAGGAAATATTTTTGATCTGGAATAAACTTGGAAGCTAAGGGTTAAATTTCCTAAAACTGATAACATAATGGTGTACCAGAAAGTAACAATGTCATCTGAGTAGTAATCTTACAAAAATATTTAACCTGAAAATAAACACAAGCGCAAAAAATCAGAGTAAGTCTACTTACTAGCCTGGAATCTTTTAAGGCATCTGTGTCATGACAGGTGGAGAAACTGTTCTAGATTAAGAGAAACTCAAGAGACAGGACAACTAATGCAACAATTTTTGACTGGCTCTTAGGCTTAACAACAGCAACCAAAAGCAATCAAAACCTTTTTGGTAACGAGGGAGAAAATGGAATATGGATGAACTGTTTGGGGGACAATATCACCATCACTGTTAAAGGTGGTATTATGGTCACTTAGTAAGTATTTAGGTGTGAATTGTTACGATGTCTACAACTACCTTTAAAATAACTCAGCAAAAAAGGTACAGATAGGTCACACACATGGATATGAATAAAGCAAACGTAACTAAGTGTTGACAATAGGTGAAGGGCATAAGTATTCATTTTATTTTTTTCTTTTCTATAGGTTTGAAAGTTTCACCTGAAGTTGGGAGAGGGTTGCCACTCCACTGTCTTCCAACAACAGAGTAAGATTTGTCTTATTATGGCATCCTTTAAATAGTACTCTGAAGTTTTCTTCAGAAATCTTAAAGATTCCTGAAAAAAACTTTTTTTCTATTATACATGGGATCTAGCCTTCCATTTTCTAAGTGTTCACATTTGAGACTAAAAAAACTAATTATTTTGTATTAACTTTATAACCAACCATTTTGTTTATTTTATTTTTCTGACAAATATCAGCTGATTCCCTTGGTTTTTCTAGTAATACATCATACAAATAATATAAAATTCAAGAGGCTCTATTAGGTTATATACCCCTCAGGAGCCTAAGAAGAAACTGCCTCTTACATCTTCACAAATTGTTTCCTTCCTGGCCACAGAGGAAACCTGTCCCCCTCAGCACGCAGGTGGAGCTGGCTGAGGAGGGAGCTGGGCAACACCTTCCCATGGAGCCCCTTCCCAGGCAGGCCTGCTGCTGCTGCTGCTGCTGCTCAGGCTGCTACTCACATGGCAGAAGATCATGGCTTGAGCAATGGTGATGGCCCCGTAGAGGTTACACAAGGCCTGGAACTTCTCATCTCTGTTGTTGCACAGGACATAGTACTGCTTGATGGTGTCCAGTGTCTCCTCCTCACGCTTCAGTTTGATAATGTTGGGGTCTGGGACCACTTTCTGGGCAAATTTCCATACAGAGTCTTCGAAGGTGGCAGAGAAAAGCAGCATCTGGCAGTTCCTGGTCAGCATCCTGCAAGGGAAGGCCCAGGTATTTGGCATGACCCTGTGTTTATCACTGGAGCCAACAGAAGCACAGCTTCCCCAGGCTTGGGTGGTCTACGTCCCTGGGAAGATGGCAGAGGTGGAGAAGCACTGCGGGGAAGAGGCAGGAGCAGACACGGGGCAGGGACGAAGTGGTGGTAGATTCCCTAAGTCTTTTTCCTCAACCCAGGCTGGTGTGGCCCATCAAGCACATGCTTCTGAAGGTTCTGAGGCAAAGAACCCAGCAGGAGCAGAAGAGGAGCTGGGTATCACAGGACGAAACATCAAGAAGACTTTTACTTGTGTATCAGGAGGCTGAGAAGTTCCTCCCGGGTCCAGAGTCCTACCTTTGGATGCGGATGCTCTGATCTTGATGGCCCTGAGTAGCTATCATCACATCAGCCTCATCCAGAACAAACACCTTGATCTTCTTGGGGTCAATGAACTTGAGCTTGGCGCACCAGTCCAGAACAGTTCCAGGGGTGCCAATGACAATGTGCTCACTTATCTTCTGACCTCTCTCCACTGTGGGGACAAATATGTTCTGTGGGTATTTCCATGACAAAACCTGCTTTGGAAACCAAAGCTTTGGCCACACTTCCAGAGCTAGTAGAACAAGTTAATTCCAGATTTTAAAACATACAAGAGTGTTTTCCAAGTCTTTGTTTTTTCTACTGTAAGTGCGCATAATGACACCTACTTCGTTGCATATAGGTAGGATTAAATCCTACACAGTGAACCCTCAGCAAGTGCTGGTTTCCCTTTCCTACCTTGTCCTATCATTCAACATGGCCCAGCTCTTCCTCTTTAGCATGACTCTTATTCTTTTCATACCATTCATTCACTCACAGTTCACTGACTTCCTCCCAAATTGGTAATTTTTAGCCCCAGGATTCTGGACCAGTGATTTTTTTTTTTTTTTTTTTTGCTTTGTTAAATATTCTAATTGTGTAGACAAATTTCCTAAGTACAAATTCTCTTTGATTGAAACAATACATCATTCTCAAACTGTAGCTGACGGGAGTTGAAAGTGATATAACCATCTATCAAAATTATTAATGCATTTAGCCTTTGACCAATACGTCCACTATTAGGAATTAATCCTGTATATGTATTAATATGTGTGAAATTATATGCATGTATCAATAGTTCACTAATTAAGCAAAATATGATACATGCAATGGATAACATCAATAAAAGTATAAAACCATTTAAGAACTGATATAGAACAATCTCAAAAATATGTTATTACATATAAAAAACAAGATAGGTGCAGTTTGTATACCAAAAGGGGTGAAAAAGAATACATGTGATATACGTGCAGGTACTAAGTATACACATGTTATGTAGTTACATACTCTTAGACATACACTATACACATACATTATTACTTAACTGTAGCTGCAGAGTATCTCTGGTAGAACACATGAGAAACTGGTTAGTACTGGGTGCCTTTAGGAAGGAGAAGTAGGTGGCTGGGACAAAGAAAAGTTTCTATCATATATCCTTTCAATTTGAAATGTGTGAATGTCTTAACTATTTTTAAAAAAGTTTAAAAACTTGGGGAGAAAAGGCTTTTTACTAGAAATTCATCAACTATCCATTAGAATAATTTAAAATTAACTTTAAACACACTGTAGTTCTCAACATTCACTGCCCAAATCAAAATTGAAACTTTAAAAAATGATACATTAACCCTGGCTGGTTTTGCTCAGTAACTTGAGCACCAGCCTGCGAATCAAATGGTCGCAGGTTCAATTCCCAGTCAGGGCACACGCCTGGGTTGTGGGCCAGGTCCCCAGTAGGGGGCATGCAAGAGGAAACCTGTCGATGTTTCTCTCGCACATCGATATTTCTCTCCTCCTCTTTAACCCTCCCTCCTCTCTCTCTAAAAATAAAATCTTTAAAATAAATGAGAAAAGAATGCCAGTCTCTTCAATGAATACAATCAACTGTATTAGCTGCCATTATAATGTTTAAGCTTTCAAAAGAAAATCAGAATTAGAATTTAGGAAAGCTTGTATGTGCCAGTGTAAGTCTGAGTTTCTCAATGTGCACAAACTTCTCTGATGAGTTTGGTGGTGATATTAAATCATGTAATTAAAATTTTTGTATAATAAAATAGGTCAACATTTGGAAGATCAGCATAATTCATTAAGATAGTATTTTTAAAATTTTTCAAATGACCAAGATATGACATTAAAAATCTTTCTTGGGCTAAGGATACACTGAAAGTGCAAGAGAAACCAAGGAATCTTAATGTAACAGTATGAAAAGTTCATTAATGATTTCAAATATCACACTGCAACTTTTTTTTTTTAAGGAAGAAGGAAGGGAAGAAGAAGGAGGGAGGGAAACATCCATGTGAGATAGAAACATTGATCAGTTGCCTCTCTTGCATGCACCCCAACTGGGGACCGAACCCACAACCCAGGCGTGTGCCTTGACCAGGAATCAAACCAGCGACCATACCAGAGACAAATCAAAGTTGCTTTGTGCGACAACGCCCAATCAACTAAGCCACACTGGTTAGGGCTCAACTAACTTTTAATTAGCACTTGCTAAGTTTTGGTGTAGCACCCAAAAGAAAAAAAATCTAAAGATTTCCTTCATATTCTTCAAAAGTAAGTACTTGAAAAATTTCTCAATTTTAAATTTTAATAAGGCAAATATTGATAAATATAACCAGTGTAAACAAAAATGTTTTGGGGTCGTATGAGTGTAAGAGACCAAAAAATTTGAGACCCGTTGCTCCAGGCAATTATAAACTACTGGGTCAAAGGGATGTCTCTCCAACTTTTCTCGGTAATGCCAACTCTCTCTTAAAGTGTTGTACAGTGTACACTCCCCACCCGGAGTGTGAGCATTCCTGGTCTGCATCCTTACTAATACAGATTTCTTCATTTTTGCCCATCTGAGAGGCATACGGTGGTTTTAATTTGCATTTTTCTGATGACTAATGAAGCTCATCTTTTCATGTTTACTGGCCATCTGAATTCCTTCTTTTATAAAGTGTTTTTTCAACTGGGCCTCTTTTGTCTAACCTCTTCTTAGATTGCTTCCTTTTTTCTTAATGATTTGTAGTTTTTTATGTTCCAACAACTTCCTAATGACCTACTTTCTAACTGCCCCACCTCCCCATTTTAACCCATATTCTCTACATTATACTCTGTGGAGCACACGAAGAAAACTGCTGATTTTAGTAAGACCAAGTAAGCCGTACATGCTCTAGGTTTACTCTTGCTAAAGCTGTGCTGACTTTTCAAGAAAGGTATCCGACCTCCACCTACATCCTCAGTGCTGCCTCTCTAAGAAGCTTCCAGAGCTCTGGATGCCAAATTCAAAACCCCATCTTTTCAGTGAAGAACTCCAGAGCCCACGGATTTTCTAACAATACAAAAATCTTATTTTAAGAGGGGAGAGAACTGTTAACAAATTAGCAAGTAATTAGGTAGATTAGCTAAAAGCATTAATTGGAGTTCTAAGGTCAGACTGAATCAGAGTTGAATAATCATCATCGCATCTTCAACATCCAAACCCACACCACCCTACTGTGCTCATCGCTTAGGTCTCACCCCTTTATACTCACATTTATTGCCTCGAACAGCATAAGCAAGCTTCAGTTCTGGATGAAATTTGCCCATCTGCTCAATCACTTTTCCTGTCTGAAGCGCCAACTCATATGTTGGGGAGAGGCACAGGCACTGATAGGGAGATTGTAAAGGATGAGTTTAGGAGAACTTTTTAGTAATAAACAGGCTCTAAAGCAACAAGTACGCTGATGTTATTACCACTTGAACGGTGCAGGGAACGACATCATCTCCAACCAGACCTTCCAGCTTGGCTGGCTGGATGCTTTCGAAAGCTATTGTCTAAGGCTGCTTCCAAATGAATTCTACTCAGGTTCTGCTCTGCCTGAGCCACGGTTTGAAGCATAGGAAACATTCAGACCCTCTAGGGGCACCCTCATCAATCTCCCACCAGATGGCGCTGCCCTTCCCAGGGCAGGTAAGTCAGCGCCCCAGGATTCCCCAGCTCTCACCTGGGGGTATTTCTCTGCCAGTTCCACTCGGCTGAGCATGGCCAGGACAAAGGCAGCTGTTTTACCAGTACCAGACTGAGACTGGGCAATCAGGTTCTGTGGACTGGATTAAGGAAGAAGAGGGACAAAGGTAATACTGGTTAAATGCCAAAAAAGGTGTCAAAATGTTTTTTTCTGGGAGGTAAGAATATAGATTTTCCTCCCTTTAGTCTAGGTTTTCTGAATTGAGCACAATGATAAATTTTTTATATATTGTTCAAAAACTGCTTAAAAATTATAGGAAATAATGACTGTTTTAGATGGGTTCACATGGAGAAAGCCTCATTCTAGATGCTAGCATAGCTGGTGCCCTAGTTTTGTACTCTATGGGCCCTGTGGACATTAAGACTGCAGAGTAAGATCTGTGCCAAGACGAATCCCCAAGGACATTTTTTCTGCGCTATAACGTGCCTCCAGGACTTGGCTTCTTCTACATGTTCTCTTTTCCCATCTTTATGGAAAACGTAAGATACCAAGTCAGACAGATGCTTTAGAGGGAGCTTTCACATTTCACTTCATGCAACTCACTGTCATGGAAATAGGTGGCATTTTGGCCATTAAAAAAATATTGTAATTGTCCTGGCTGGTGTGGCTCAGTGGATTGAGCTCTGGTCTGTGAACCAAAGGGTTGCTGGTTCGATTCCTAGTCAGGGCCAATGCCTGGGTTGCGGGCCAGGTCCCCAGTTGGGGGGTGCGTAAGAGGCAACCACACATTGATGTTTCTCTCCCTCTCTTTCTCCCTCCCTTCCCTTCTCTAAAAAGAAATAAACGAAATCTTAATCCCCCCCCCCTCCCCAAAGAGGTGCATACTCACGGCTCAGCAAGCATCAAAGGCAATGCATTCTCTTGTATCTTGGATGGTCGGTTGAAGCCCATGGCGTAGACTCCCTGAAGAAGCTGTGGTTTCCTGGGAGGCCAGGGAGAGAAAAAATAGATTCCTAGTTGTTGAGATTGTTCTAAAGGCCTAGAATTTTATCATTCCCTACATCTAGCAAAGAATGATGCATCCTATCTTTGTCAGATATATCTTCCTAAGCCTTAAAAAAACACTATCTAAAACAAAATGAAACCATCTTTTCCTATTGAATTTTAACCTGCAACTATTATACAAATCATAAAATATAAAATTAATTTCCTTTCTTGGAGAAATTCATGCTTTCAGCAGACCCACAAATGTGATTGGCCTTGGAGGACAAGTGCTCTCTGGATACTGTGAGGGTGGTATTTATTAATTCATGGTATAAAATAAATTATAAAAGACATTTAAAAGTAACACTGCTTCCTATGCTGCTAAGATATAAAAGTCCCTTTGGAGAATGGGATTTCAGTTTTAATTTCTCAGTGCAGATAATAAATTGAAACCAGTCATTTTGTATTCAATGGTCCTGCCAAAGCCAGCTTGGAAAAATCAAGAGGTAACATCAGGTCAAAATCAAGAACAGAAAAGCCCCAACTTCTTATATAAGCAGCTACACCACAAATACCAATTAAAGTTGCTATTACGTTACATTTACAATAAGCTTTCTACTTCCTCTAAATTGACAGGGTGTTTAACAAAAATCATACTAGATTAATTACAAAGAAAAGTCAAACTGAGTCAAGCCTTCTGTTCTCTAAGCCTTCACTGGAGTTCAACAGGCTCTCCAAAAGGCAAATTATTCTGGCCTTTGTTGGTTCTTAGACACAAAGAACTTTGAAAACATAACCTTTGATGTCTGCCATTTGGAAGAAAAGGCTTTAATGCCAGCAGATTCTGATTTGGTTGTCAAGGAAACAAAGTCACTAATGAATGAGGATTTTCAAGTGATCCAAGAACTTTCAGTGGCTCATTTTTTTCTTTTATTTTGTAGATTAATTCAAATCTTTTACGTACAGAACAGACCAAGTATATTAGGTGACCTAGGTTTCATTCTTTGTTTCCTTTGGCTACCAACAGCTAAGTCAGAGAGAAGTTGCCTTTTCAAAGAGGACAATTCATCACTGGTTGAACTAAGAGCTCTAGTCCTTTAAATGAAAGGAACTTAAAAAAAAAACACAAAAATAACCCATTGATACTTAGAAAAGCAAACTGTCAGAAAACAATAGAGCACATGTAGCTGCCCTAATACAGTTGATGAACAGAGCAGAGATGACAGATTTGCTGAATGAAGCCCCTGAGAAATAACAGAGAAGTATAATTTCCTGAAATTATTTAAAAAAAAACAAACCCAAAAATAAATAAATAAAACACTGTTATTATCTATTACTTCACTAACAACTTGATTTGGTTCTAGTTGACGCTAATATTTTAAGTGACTTTTACTCTAAAGCAGTGGTAATAGCTGGCAGAAATGTGGCCCCTATTTGCTCACAGTGCACATACTATGGATTTTGCTGAACAAAGGCAAGGAACACCTTTATTCCACCACTTTCTTATTCATCAGCTATTTTCTGTGATTTGGGTGCTGGCAGGCAGCGAGAGTAGTAGTTATGTCTTGCATTATTCGTAACACACAGCACAGTGGCATGTACATAAAACCAATGATCCATAAACACCTCTTTACTACCTTACTGAAGAAACAAAAAACGTGGTATGACCTTTCATAATTACCTCTTTAAAATAATGACACGTTAGAAGTCATTCTTAGCACAGTGCTATATGTGTGCTCCCCTAAGACTTAATTCTGCATTCTGGATTTTTTAAACGCCAGAATGTTGAAGGCTACTTTCCACTGCAGGTCCTGGGAATCCTGTACAGGCTCTTTTGACGGATTTTATAAAAGCAGGTAAACTGTTCTTAAGATCATAAACCCTATAGTCTAACAAAAGGGCTTACCTAATAAGAAATGTTCCTGACATCCAGAAATCACCTGTCAGCCAATATTTTATTGAAAGTTCTAAGAGCATAAAAGAAAAAAGACTTTCAGCTACGATGAATAAATCTGTGGCATGTAAATATCCCTATCAAGAAAAGGAGAAATGGGAAGCCAAGAGACAAGGGTGTGAGGGAGACCATAACTCTAACCTTTTTCATACTTTTTGATGTTTGCATCCTATGATTTATTAATTAGTCAAAGAAATAAATACGTTAGGATCTTTTTAAAAAGTTAAAAGTAAAATTTCCCCAAGAATCTCTGAGATGCTAAATTTTATAAAAGAGGAACTGGTAAGAAGCAGCTCAGAGGAACAAATACTCACAGCCGAAGCTCCTCGAAGGACTTCACTGAGTAGAGAGGGGACTTTGGATCCCGCTGCAGAACTTCCACTTGGTTGGTGTTATCGACCAGGTTGTTTCTGATGAGCTTGTTGAGTAAGGACTGAGCAGCTCTGTCCTCTGTTAGGAGAAACGTGTAGATATTCTTTATACTCACCTGACAAACTCCACCCTCATGACACCCCCCTTCCCCTTGATGGAACATCCCCTAAAAAAGCTATCTATGTTCGTCTCCGTTTCCTCTCCTCCCCTTCTGTTGAATGTACACTGACTAGCTTTTTATTAAGCCTCTCCACTTCACCTTAGCCCTTGTCGAGTTCACCAATGAACCCTACACTGCCAAATCAATTCAACAGACAACATTTAGTTCTCTTAATCAACTTGTTACCTATATTTAACTCCCTGCTTTGGAAACATTTCCTTCTGATTTCTGGGAGACCACTGTCCTTGGTCCTTCTACCTCACTGACTCTGTCTTCTCAGCCTCCTTTGTGGATTCCTCCTCTTCTTCATCTGACAACTCAGAGTGCCTCTGGCTCCAGAACAGCAAGTCCTGAGTCCTACTACTTTGTCTCTTGCTACAGGGTTTCATGAGTAGTTACCTTTCTCTTCTTCATCTGCTTTTTCTGCAGTGACATTGGTTTTGATAACACCTACACAAGAAAACAGCTGTCATAATCAAAAAGGCAGATATCAAAACCACCCAGAAGGTGGGACAATGTAACTATAAAAATTATTTAAGTGGTCAAAAGGTAAATAGTTGGCATTTCTTTGTGTTTAATAAATTTTTAGTAAGTTTTTAAGTGCATAAGAAAATTTCAAATTTCCAGAGATTTTGGCTGACTTCAAAGCAATCAGAATGTCACCTCTGGCTTACTTTTCCTAATATAAAATATAGCTTTATATTGGCAAACATAATTAAACGAGAAAATAAAGGTATTAGAAATTAAAAGGAAGAGGTAAAATGATCACTTTTTATAGAATGTATGACTATAAACTTGCAGGACTAAGTATTAAGTAAACAGAAATCAGCAGCTTATATAAACACAGAGATGTAACTGAAAAAATCCTATTTATAATAGCAACTAAAAAAGATAAAATACTGCACCTAGAAATAAAGTTAACAAAAAATATGCAAGACTCACATGAAGAAAACTTTAAAATACTCATAAAAGAATGCAAAGAGTTACAGCTAAGAAGCCCACAAATAAGTTATAATGGGACTCTTAAGATATTCACTTAACCCAAAAGAAGGCAAGAAAATAGGCAAAGAAACAAAATCTGAGGAGACAAATAGAAAACAAATAGTAAAGTTGCTAACCTAAACCCAATGACATCAATAATTACATTAAATGTAAACAGATAAAACACTCTAATTAAGAGATTATTAGAATGGATTTAAAAAAAAAAAGCAAGATCCAACTGTCAGTTGTCTACAAGAGGCACACTTTATAAAGACACAAAGAAGTTGAGAGTCAAGGGACGCAAAGAGATTATCATGCACTGTAAGCACAAAAGGCTGGAGTGGTTCCCAAAATGCAGAATTCAAGACAAAAAGCATCACCAGAAATAAAGGGGAATATAAAAGGGTTCATTCATCAGGAAGACATACATGTGTATATACCTGAAAACATATCTGCAAGACAGATGTGTTTTTTGGACAGAAGTCCTAACAAGACAGAATTAAAGAAAGAAACAGACTATCCCATAATTGTAGTTCAAAGTTTTAACACCGCTCTTTCAAAAATGAAAAGAACTAGACCAAACAACAATCAAGACTTAGATCTCAACACCATTAACTACATTGGCCTAATTGACATCATAGGACACCATACACAATAAGTGCAAAATACGTATGCTGCAAAGTCAAATGGCAAATATAGGTGGCAAAAGTATTATCAACTTCTATCACAATTAAAGGGTTAATCTTAAAGTACAAAGTTCTTCATATTTAGAAAAAAGACAAAAAGCCCAATAGAAAAATGGGCAAATGACACAATCAGTTCAGGAAAGGGAAATACAAATTCTTTTAAACTTATGAAAATATTCACCCTAATGATGACACACAAATTAAAATATATTATGTTGATCCACCATTTTTTATTTAGCAGATCAGCAAAATCCCGTTTTTGACTAAAAATTCTGTAGTGAGGCTGTGGGGAAACAGACTCTCATGTTTTACTGATAGAAATATAAATTGGCAAAATACTTATTGAGAGTACCTTGAAAATACTGATAAAAATTGCAAATGCATATCTTTGACCTCATAAATCCATTTTGGGGCAATTTATCCTATAAATATATTTGCATTCATATAAAAAGAATTAAGTCCAAGGTTATTCCATGAAGCATTGTTTGTAACAGCAAAAGAATGTGACCATCTATCAACAGATGACTGGTTAAATAAATTGTGATGTATTAACACAATATAATATGATGCAATTACAAAAGAGTGAGAAAACTCCATGTACTGATAGGGAAAACTTGCCAAGGTATGTTGCTGAATGAAAGTAAGTAAGTATACTGTGTATACTATGCCATCTTTTGTGGAGGGTGGGGGGCGGAAGAGAGAGAGAGAGAGAGAGAGAGAGAAATGAACTGTATTGTAGTCACTTTTTATAAAAAGCAGCTTTGGTCCTGTGGTGTGGCTCGGTGGACTGTGTGCTGGTCCACAAACCAAAAGGTCGCTGGTTCAATTCCCAGTCAGGATACATGTTTGGGTTGTGGGCCAGGTCCCTAGTTGGGGGTATGCAAGAGGCAACTGATCGATGTATCTCTCACACATCAATGTTTCTCTCCCTTTCTCCCTCCCTTCCCTCTCTCTAAAAATAAATAAAATCTTTTTTTTTAAAAGAAACTTTGGAAGAATATTAATAATCCAACAGAGTGGTTTAGTATTATGGGTTAAGTCATGAATCATCCCCCGCACCCCCAAAATTCAAATGTTTAAGTCCTAGGAATGTAACTAAAAAAATGACCTTATTTTGAGATAGGGTCATTGCAGAGGTAATTAGTTACCATGAGATCATTAGGGTGGCCCTTAATCCAATATGACCGATGTCCTTATAAAGAGGGGAAATTTGAACACAGACATGCACACAGGGAGGACGCCATGTGAAGAGGGAAGACAGATCAGGGTGATGCTTCTATAAGCCAAGGAACACCAAAGAGTACCATATCCTTCCTCATAGCCCTCAGAAAGAACCAACCTTGCTGACACCTTGATCTTGGACTTCTGGCCTCCAGAACTATGAGACAATAAATTTCTGTTGTTTAAACCACTCAGTTTGTGATACTTTGTTATGGCAGGCCTAGTAAACCAACATAGGTAAAGACTGGGTAAATAGTGGACCAGATGAGAGGAAGGCCTCTCACCTGTTTATACTTTCTGAATTTTGAACCCAGATTAACCTTAAAAAAAAATTAAATAAATTTTAAAGAAATATTAGCAAGTGAACAGAGACAGTACAACCCAAAAGTGATTCTTGATTTCAAGGAGTCAGGAGCTAAATAACATCTGGAAGAATAACGTATACCCCTCAGTGTGAAACCGACTTTACTGGCTGTCAAATCCAGTGCTGACATTTGCAGAACATGCTAAACGAAAGCTCCTTCTCACATGACAGCTATGAGTACAAAGCAGATGCAAACTTGTAGCTTGTATTTAGTTCACAGTTACTAGTGACTCACCATTGGTATCTGGTTTGACTTTCTCTTCCTTGATCTGCAAATTACTCATCTGAATGGAAATAAAAGAAAACACTTGAGAACAGAGCCACAGAATAGCTTAATACCATGAATTATTTATTAAGCTAACGTATACAAGTATATGTAATAAAATACAAAGGGGAGGGTTTTTACCAACTATTAGGAAGCAATGTTTTAAAACATTAAATTACATCAGCCTCCTGATAAGCAAATCGGTTAGAACCAGATTCCAAGTATGTTTAGGCCTATGTGATATTCATAATATCACTGCTAGATTAGGGTCCTGGGTTTAAAAAGATCTGAAACCACTTCTGTCTTTTAGGGAAGATCTGATGCTAAACGCTAGATTGTAAAATTTAGAGTGCCAGAACCATATACTATATCATATTTTTTTATTTCTTTGTGGATAGCTGCCAGTTTTATACCTTTAATCTGACTGGTCCCTTGAACTCCAGTACTACATTTCCAAATGCCTGAGGGGTACTGTGCAGAAAAGAGTTAACATTAAGAGACATGACTATTATTCTTAGGAAAGCCAGGTTGCAAAGCTGGCCACTTGCTGGCATCTGGGAATGCGGATTGTGAGAGGGTTCCCGCTATTCCCAGAACTGTTGAGGGGTTCACTGACTATGTTTGCAAAAACATGTGGTTTATGTTAACATCTGCTTTCCTTTGGGAGTCCAGAGTTTTGGTACAGGCTGGCAAAGGATGACTATGGGACAGCCCCCCTCTCCCAACCCCAGCCCAATAAAACCTCTTAAGCACTGAGTCTCTAATGAGCTTCCCTGATACTTCACATGTGTTGTTACACTCTGTTGCAGAAAGAATTTAGCACAAATGTGGAGCGTGTGACTTCACTCTTAGAAGCTTGTGCTTGGCCGCTACTGGTGTGGCTCATTTGGGTGGGTGTCATCCAAAAGGTCACTGCTGTGATTCCTGATTAGGGCACATGCCTGGGTTGTGGGTTCAGTCCCAGGTTGGGAAGTGTACAAGAGGCAACTGATCAATGTTATTCTCACACCAATGTTTCTCTCCCTCTCTTTCTCCCTCCCTTCTCTTCTCTAAAAATAAATAAATAAAGTCAATTTTTTTTTTTTTTTAAGAAGCTTGTGCTTGGTTTTCTCTGGACCCCATGTGCCCCTGCTTTTTGCTAATTTTGCTTTGTATCTTTTCATTGTAACAAATCATAGAGGCTGAGCAGAATTATATGCTGGATCCTGTGAGTCCTCCTAAGAAACCATCAAACTTGGACAACTCTTGGGGACTCCCAACACAGGTATTTACCAAGATGTCCCCCTTACCGCAAATTCAGAACAGTCAAAAGTGAACTCCCACCCTCCATATCAAATCTGCCCTTCTTCCCAATTCCCTAGGCCTGTTATTAGCACTTAAAATATCACCTGTGGGATTTAGGTTGAAAACAGTAATCTTCGCCTAGATCTCCATTTTCTTCTTTTTTCTAAATCCTTCCAGTTATACCCCACAATTATCTCTTGAATCTATTCCCTCATCTTCATTTTCACCACCCAATATACACCTTCTATTTCTGAGCTATTAGAGTAACTTCTACACTAATCTCTTTTCCTTTAAACATCACTCCTTCTAAATTCTGTTCTCTGAAGTCCAATAAATCTTGCCAGCTCTCAATTTAATGTTGTCAGTATCCTGAAACATCCCCAAACTAACCAAATAAAGCAAGTTTTGTAAGTTATCAAAGTCCAAAGTACACTCACTACAATATTTTCTACATCACTCCTACTACAACCCAATAACTCAAGCTGCAGTAAAAAAAGAGTTCTGATTCCTGCTCTCTAGCCAAATGTGCATTCTATTTTCCTAAAATGCCTTCTATTTTCCCAAGATGTGTATCCTCCTTCATGTATTCTATTTTCCTAAAATGCTTTTCACCTCCATCTCTCTTAAAATGACTCAATCTCTAATATACTGCTCAAATGTAAGCTACTTGAAAAATAATTTCCCTGATATTCTTACTCATAAATGTCCTCTCCCTGCTCAGAGTTCAGTTGCCACATTATTCTTACCATTTTTCACAGCACTTCCCACATTCTAGCCTTCCTAACTAGACACTGAAGCTTCTTCCCGTTCTCCACTGAATTTGGCCCATTTCAACTGTATGCTGACAAATTGACAACCCTCCCAAAACAATTAAAGGGTGACTTGAGGAAAAAAAATGCAATTTAGGCATTAAAAAGTTATAAGATTTCACCCTACAAAAACAAAACCACCCTCCCATACAAAAAAACAAAACCAAACCCAACTATATTCCTAAAATCGTCATTATCACTAAACAAACCTACATTTAGATATAACCGAAAAATCACAATTTACACTATAATTACCTTCCAGTTGATTGGATCTTCATTAATAAAAGAAGAACCAGCATATGTAACTAAATGTCACTTTAAACATCAAAGAAACAATTCGCAGTGCCTCCCGCCCACATCTATAGTAGACTGAAATATATAAAAACCTGTATCTGTTATTCTGCTGAGCTACAAATTGCCAACGACGTTAATTTAAGCATGGACCTAAAAAATGTTAAAATAAGAGTAGCTCAGACTCGTTCTACTCTTCATGAGAAAGAGAATCAGCATCTAAACTTGCCTTTCCTTAATAACCCCACTGAGATGCAATCCAGGAAAGACAGCGCACGTAGCGGGGACAGATCTGCCACAGGATAAAAGTCTTTAACCGGCCCAGGTGAAGAGAAAAATCTCGATATTGATCTCTCTGGGCGCAAATCAGTTCTGATTCCCCGTGGGCCACCGGCCTGCCCCACCCGTGGTCCTCCCTGTATTCGAAGCAGGGTCCGCTTGGGCCCTCCTACTTCCTTCCCCCCCTGGATCTGAGGCCACTGACCGATTTGACAGCCGCTTCCTGCTCGTCCACTGCCAGGGCCCACGAGTCGGTGGCCATGGTCCAGAGGGAGAGAGGGCAGCTCCCGAAAAAAATCACCGCACTGCGCGCCAACACCGGCCCTGAGCCCGCAGCAGGCGCGAGGACCACACTCACGCGGACCGGAAGCGGCGGTGCTGAAGTGACGTCAGTTTCTGCCCGGCTCGAGACGTCACCATTCCGCGCCGGGCTTGTCTCGGGCCGCACCTCTTCCCGTCAGGCGCAAACCTGAGGCGTGTCTCGTCAGGCGTGTTCTCTTGGTGATTTACTTCCCGCTGACAAACCCTAAGTTTTATTTTCAAACTTGGCACGCGTCACTAAATGTATAAATCTCTGAACTCTAAAGCCTTACACAAGGGTAAGTGCTATGAGAATACTACACAATGTCAGTTTCTACTGTTAACAACGCTTTAACAGGTAAGGCAACGAAAGCCAAAACGAAACCGGAAAGCCCTTAAGTCTCTCCGCCCCCGCCCTCACCTCATGGTCCCAGCACTATAAAAAATACAACAGCGGTATCATTTTCTCCTGGGTCATTCCAGTCTTTATGCATACCCATCATAGCACAGGTATTTTACATAGTCCTAAAGAAAGTGTGCATACGATTTAAAATTTCCCCTTTTTATTATACGGCTAAGTATTTCTTAGTGTCATTTTTTAAAATCAATGTAATGATAACAATAGCCCATCAAGCCCTTACACATAAATTGTATAACTCGTTTCTGATGTTTTGGCATTAATTGATAATACTTCAGTGAGCATTTCCACGCCATCAAAAATCATCTTGTTGCCAATTTACTTTGTCTCTCCGCACTAGAATATAAACTTTAAAGTATTTTTTATAAACATTGACTTTTTTTTTTTAAAGCTTTATTTTCAGAAAGGGGGGAAAGGGTGGGGGAAAGAAAGAAATACAAGTCGGTTGCGTCTAGTACACAATGACCAGGGACCCAACCCGCAACCCAAGCGTGCGCCCCGGCTGGGAATTGGACCGGCAACGTTTTGCTTTGCCGGGCAATGCCCACCCCTAAGCCACACTGGTCTGGGCTCTAGATCTTGATTTTTGGTTACTTAGATGTATGAATTTGTTAAAACTCAGAACTGTACACCTCATTTTATCGCACCTCACTTTATTGTCCTTCACAGGTGCTGTGTTTTTTTACAAATTGGTGAAGGCAATCCACCAGCAAAAAGATTACCACTCACTTTATTGCCATACCTGCTTTATTATGGAGGTCTGGAACTAAACCCACAATATCTCTGAGGTATGCCTGTATTTAAAACGTTATTGTATTGTATATAAATTATACCTTTCAATAACATTGATTTACAAAGCAAAAGAAGTGAACTGTTGATACATGCAACAACACAAATCAGTGATTTGCTATCTCAGACATTATGTTGAGTGAAAGAATCCAGACACGGAAAGAGTACATGGTACATGATTCCATTTATATAAATTCAAAACAAGTATATCTAATCTATAGTGATAGAAACCAGAACAGTGTTTGCCTGGGGATGGGCTACAGTCAACAGGATTGATGAGAAGGGCACAAGGGAACTTTCAGGGGTGATGAAATGTTCTGTATCTTAACTGGAGTGGTGGTTACTCATGTGTACAATCGTCAAAATTCAGAACTGTCCACCTAATACCTGTACATTGTTCTATGTATGTCAATTAAAAATGAAACAAACACATTGTAATGAAAAAATCAGTTTAAAAAATACTGGTAGTAATAATTTCAATTTATTTGTACTGTAGAAAAGGGGGTGGCGGCTAAGAATGTTTTCTCAGCTCTTAGCCACTCATTAAAACAGAGGGCATGCACACACTATGCTACAGAAGTGAGAATGCCAAATGCCATATTATCTGCCCAAAGGACTAGTCTAATTCTCAGCGTCCTCACCAACAGTGAGCTCTTGCTAGGAGACAGCACCATAGTCTCATTCCATTTTTGGCAGCAACCCTGGGAGAGACTGTTAATTGGTTTTCTGAGGAATTGATGCTCCTTCTGTCCTACTGTTGAAGTAATCACTTTTCAGGAAAAAACACAAAACCAAATTTTGAGGCACCTCTCCCTCTTACTCTTTATCTCAGATGTCTACACAGCAAAGCCTTCAACAGCACTAAAAGAGTTCAATTGGAAGTTCTTTGTCGCAGAGCTCCATAGAGGAAAAATTGAGGTGTGGGTGCCCACTGCCCCCTTTCCATTGCTATTTCACTACAAAGTGCAGCTGCTCTAGCACTGAAGGTGATTCCTACATTGCTTCCACTTAAACCCAATTCCTAGGGCTAAATGTGGTCACCAGAGTTGAAGGTAGGATTTTTGCTTGCATTGGATTTGTAGGACATTTATTGACACTTCTTTTTATTATTTCTCTTTCTGCGCTTACAAGGCGACTGATTGGCATTTGTTTAATCCAGCCGAGTGCTGTCAGGGAGGTCTAGGCTGAGAATCCAACTGGGACAATGAAACCATCCCCGCCTGTTTGGAGCAGCTTTGCCAGGACCACCACATCCTCCCCTCAGCTAGCATTTATATTCCAAAAGAGGGGCGTCCAGCCTGAAGCCAGTGAGAATCCCACTCATGAGAAGGGTTTTCCTAAGCAGCCTCCTGCTGTGAGTCAGATTTGGTTAGACTGGGCAGTTATAAAACATTTTTTTAAATGCATCTTTACGATTTACTTGCATCACCCCATTTAATTCTCACAGCCTTCCTGTTATCTCCATTTTACAAGTAAGGAAATGGAGGTTCGGAGAAGATGACTTCCAAGATAATATGGCCTAATAAGTAGCAAATACACTACTTGAACTCAGGGTAACCCAATTCGAGAAAGCAGTGGGCAACAAAACCAAAAACCAAGGGCGGAGTGAGAGACCAGCTCTTTTGGGACCTGGGACTTTGGTCAAGAGCCCAGCTGGCCTCTGAGTGGCCGAGGCCAACAAGCCAGCCAGTCACCAGAGGCCCTTCTCCGGGCTACTTTCTAAGTAGTCATTGGAGGGAAAGTAGCTACTTTCTCCAGGCTACTTTCTAAGAACCTGATACCTATACCTGGGCCCAGGAGAAACCTGAAGAGGGTCCCTGAAGTCTACAACAGTTTGGGTGGTGGTAGTGAAGGAAAAGGGCCAGTCCCTTCTTGCAAAGGTGACAGGCCTGGTATCATACAGGCTGTGTAGGAGACTCAAACATGATGTCACCTGTTCTTTCCAAACTTTCCAAATGGGCTTCTCCCCAGAATTATTTTGTATAGTACATCTAATTATTGAGTTACAAATCCTTTTTGGAATAACAATAGATTTTTTTAAAAAGCCTGCCATTCTTCCTTATAATATCTTTCTAGTCCACTTTCTTGTGCACTTTCAGTACAACCAATGACATCCTGGCATTTGCTGTGTGTTGAGACTGAGGGAATAATCTGGTTTCTCAGACGCCAGCCTTTTCCAGATCCAGTATGTCCTGTAGACCTCTGCTAGACCAATTTTCCCACCCAGACGCCCCAAAAAACAATTTAATCATTTCCTGTGTTTTAAGGATCTATGATAATTTACTGGTAAATCCAAATCCTGTTCAATCATATCTTCATTTTCTACCTAACAAGTCTTTTCTCTGCCCACACAGCTAGGCTGCTCACCTTACTACCCTTGCTGCATACTGTGTTCATACTGGTGAAGTTACTTTAGTCTTCATAGGACCAGTCTACCTAAAGCACTCTTCTTGTCGCTTGAAATCCCACTTTTTTCTCGTAAGCAAACTCCTCTCCTTTATGAATCTTCTCTAACCTCGGAAATCTTTACTTTCTGAATACCAGTGGCACTTCGAATGAAATGGCCTTGAAGTTAAATAATAAACAATGCCCTGGCTGGTGTGGCTTAGAACTGTGAAGCAAAGGGTGGCCGCTTTGATTCCCAGACAGGGCACATGCCTGGGTTGCAGGCCAGGCCCCCAGCAGCAGGGGGCACAGGAGAGGCAACCACACACTGATGTTTCTCTCCCTCTCCTTCCCTTCCTCTATCTCTAAAAATACGTAAAATTTAAAAAAAAGAATTTTTTAAAAAGTTGATTTTTAAAAAACAAAAAAGTGATGGGGACGACACAGGAGAAGAGCTTTCTGATTTTTATTCCTTTCCTAGGACTAGAAAAGTAGAATGTAGGGACTTTGTATTTGCTGGCATCGGCCTTCTTCCTGATTACTGTATTTTGCTGTGTACAATGCACACCCACATTTTTGGCCCAAACTTTCAGGAAAAAAAATCTTTTTTTAATTCAGTTTTTCATTTATTTATATTTAGATACTTGTTTTTCGTATTATAAAAGAATTTAGCATTTCCTTTTGAATGGAAATCATTACAGATATTGTTACTCCTTTCTAGTTATACTTTTAATGCATAATCACAAATAAAAGAATTAAAAACATTCATATAAATATCTATTTATATAGAACTACCCATGTAAAATGTGCACCCTTATTTTTCCCTCAAAAATTTGGGCAAAAAAAGTGCACATTATGCATGGCAAAATACAGTATTTAGCCAGTTTTCTCTGGTTTACCAGCAGGAAAAGGGGAATGTGAACACTCCTTTGGCAACCAAGTATAGCTCTTGGCCTATGGAGCCATCCCAACTACTTTACGTTGAAATGTCAGCTTTGAAATGGAACAGTAATATAAGGTGATGACTAGCTTATGGAATATGTGAGTCTTCACTTATATATGATTACTAATATCAGCAACCAAAACATGTTTCCTTCTTATAGTCTGATATCTCAGTAACATGAATGTCACAATTAAGTTGCTTACGTATTCTATTGTATCTAATGTATTCTATTAGTAAAGAATACATCAACAGTTGATTAGTTCTTATGCATACAGCCAATGAACAACCCTCAAAAAACCAATACAATCTGTTGTTTATAGATAATGAACATATCCAGAATCTTCCTTTGGATTGAAATCTCCTTTTCCCAAGTGAATTTCTGTTTTCTAGGGCACAGTTTATCATTGCATATATAGGAACTTGCTAAAAACAGTAGAAGAAATTCTGGGGACTGAAGTTCACCAAGAGCTCAGTACATTTTATATCATCGATGTCTCAAAAGTGGACATCGTCACAGAAGCAGCTGAGGTCCATTGAGCCCTGGGAGCCAAGCACTGGAGGCAATGAACATGGTCTGCAAAAGAATACGGACTGCAGTGACGCTGGGGAGACATTCCAGAGCCATCCATGACAGTTGAGTCTTACCTTTTTAAAACACACACACTCCTTTGGGAGTCTCTGCCAGGAAGATGCGTTTTAACTCAAAGTACTGCATACACTTCAGTCTCCACAAAACCTATCCAGTGAATTCTAAGGGGCCCAAGCCACCAGATTAAGAACTGGTAATCTAGGTTTTTACCAGATCCCATTTACTTCTACTATTGAAGAGTCTGAAGCTCTTCCCTTCCCATTTTCCTGTCCATATTTAGGGCTACTCAAGTAGACAGGTTGTACATGTTGTGAGAAGGTGGGGGTATGCCTGGTCTACAGTCTTGTGAGTTTACAGTCCTTTAATTGTTCCCTTTGTTTCTATTTATTTCAGGGTTGGTCCATAGGACTTCAAGAGTTGTGGGGGGAGGGGTGTTAAATCTCTTCTAAGGTTGGTCAAAGTTGGCCAGAAGCATAGAAAAACTCTGTAGAGTCCAGTGGAGGAATGTGGAGGACAGGCAGAGTGTTAGTCTCTCTGCAGTATCTGTAATGTTAGATTAAGGTAACCATCTGGAAGCTGGTAGTGGCCCCTTCCTTTCCCAGGAGACAGATCTAGCCCTAAAACAGAAACACAAGGAAGGTCTGGGATTGTAGTAGTACTCCTCACAAAACACCCCTCTTCCAAGCCCAGTCCTAGGTAAAGTGGCCATTCTGTATCAAAGTCTAAGAGCAAAAGAGGACTCCTTTTGGCTAGGGTTTCATATTGTTCTTGCAACTCAAGTCTCACATTTGTGCTGTTACATTGTGGATACGAAGTCTTCTCCAGGTATGAAGGAATGTCCGTTACTATTTGCTCTAACTACTCTGCACAAAGATGCCAAGTAAGTTAAGGACAGAGTAAAGGTTTGACAGTTCCTCTTGCCTTGCATAGATAAATGGCTGTAGTCCACCTAGTCCCTTAGTTGTACTTGTTTGTATTCCAAGCACTGAACACAAATGTACAGTAACCCTTTAAAATCAAGATGTCAAATATGTGAACTCATTCCCCAGCTCTTACAAAACTTGCCTTCTGGGATCTGAAAACAAAGCAAGAATTTGTGACTACTGCAGATTACTTCTGAAGCTGGCCATTTGTGACTTGAACCCAGTTTTCACTAAGGATCCAAAACTCAGATCACCTTTTATTTGCCTGGGGCTACTAAAGGATTAAGGTGATGGTAGGGATGTAAAAAAGATGGGCAAGTGCCTGTGAGACCAGGTTTTATAGCAAGCTAGAGCCAGCTCTGATTCTCCATAATGACTTTTTCACAGGATTTGCTCACACACAAGCAAGGTACCCACTAGTAATCAGATGTGGACCGCATACAGGTTGCATGTGCTGAGAACAGGTCATGGTCCTGCAACACAAACTTGCATACACTGAAGATCCCAGGATGGCATTTTGGTCTGTGCTTAGCAAATCCCTTCCTGCTCTGGGTATCAGAACAGAACTGGCTAACAACGCTCAGATGAGCTTGCCCACCCCAAACCCAAAGCAGCAGCTCACAGGTCTCCTCTGGTGCCTCTCACCTTACTCCAAACATGATGGGAGGCTTACACACTTATCCTATTTGGGCGCCGCCCCCTACCCATGTTCCCTCTTCACCTCTATTCTGTCACTTCCACTAGGGCCAGGGTTGGCCTGAACACTCCTACCCCAAGAATGGGCAGGGGTGGTCAGAGAGCTCCTGAGCAAGTGATTAGCCACAGCATCTAGATTAGTGTAACAATGGGGAAAACGCTGGCCAAAAAAAAAAAGACAAAATTTCCAAAAGGTAAATTTCTGTGTATTCACGCCTAATCTTCAAAAGCTGTGTCAACAGTTGTTTCTACCTTCCCCCATCATTTGCACAATTTCTGTCGAGTCCAAACGTAATTTAAAATGAGGTAGGTAGTTTCTCTCTACTCGTGCCTTCATCTTCGCGGTGACTGTTGAGGCCTGTATGTGAAAGCACTAGTCTCCCTTGTAGGGGGAGCCAAGGGCGGGCACCAGTGACTGGCAGAGCTCCTCAGTTGGCTATCTTCTCAATCTCGTCCAAATCATCTGTGTCCAATCTTTCTATTTTCTTATCTGAGGAAAAATAAGAAAGATTCAGAGAGAGAGAGCAACAAAGGCCCACTGTGGAGACACGCACCTAGGGGAGGCAGCACAGCAGGGAGACAGGGAGGACAGGTCTCTGCCTGATCGAGCCCTGCCACTGGCCACATCCTTCCTTCCTTTAACCCCAAGGCTTCTGGCACCTGAGGAACAGACACTGACCGCAACAGTCAGAGCCCGAGGCCCCTCAGCCTGGCCAAGGGGGACCTGTCATTCGAGTCCCCGACGCTGACTCTCCAGGTCTGCTCTTTGAGGACGTCCATATGGCAGGGATGGAGGGCAATGTGGACAGGGACAAAGCTGCTTTAGGGGTCACAGGAAAACTACCCTATCGCCACCCCCGGATCGGCCCCTCTAAGGAGAGGGCCCTGACGCAAGACACTCCCAGGGACTCACTAAAATGCTCCTGGATTCTGTTGAGGATGTTCATGCTGTGCTTGCTGTCGACCATGTTCACCGCCAGGCCCCTCTTGCCAAAGCGGCCAGTGCGCCCGATCCGGTGCAGGTAGGTCTCGTTGTCGGGGTTCCCGTCCTTGTCCACGGGAAGGTCGAAGTTGATGACAACAGACACCTGTTCAACATCGATACCTGCACGGAGGAGAGTTGGAAGACGGTTAAGGATGGGAGGAAAAACATCCCTGCCTCACCCACAGTCCGGCCACCAACTTCTGATGGAAGGAGCCTGGCTGGTCCGACTCTGCGATTCAGGGGACAAGGGGCATGTAGCAGAACCCAGAGGGAAACCACAGAACTTGGGCAGGTGCTAACAAAGTTAGGAAGTCAGTAGGAGAGCCTCCGCTGGACACAAGTGTCTGGAGATGCGGCTGACACCTCAGCGGCTGCCCCAAGAAGGACAGGCGCCGTTCTCAACCGGTCGGGTGCCTGCACTTTCCCTTCCACCCGGTCCGGACTCCGGGCTTCTGTGGGAGTTCTCAGCTGATGAGGGAACCCAGTCTCTCCTAGAGAAAAACGTCACCACCAACCCCGCCTGATCTCTTCCGAACCGCCTGAGTTTTTCACATAGAGGATTTCTCTCGCTGCCCTGAGTCTGGCAGACCGCGACAAGTTCTCTGCTCACCACGGGCACACACGTTGGTGGTCACCAGCACCTTCTCTTTGCCCTCTCGGAAGCGCTCGATCACCGCAGCCCTCTGCTCCACCATCATTTCACCGCTCAGCAGAGCCACCTGGTGGCCTTCTTTGGAGAGCTCTGCTGCCAGCCAGCTGGCTGTTTTGCGGGTCTGAAGTAAAAAGAATTGTTTTAAATGAAGATACCTGTAAAACAAAAAAATGAAAACACCTGCAGAAAAGTGGCTTTTGCCCATCATATACATGAAGGCCCTGCTGTATTCCGTCAGCACATTAGGCGTAAATTTTTCAAATGGAATTTTAGCTATGTGATTTTTTGGGGTAAGTTACTTAAATGATTTTAGTGTTCATCTAGGAAAAGTGTGGTTTCAACCAAAGATTTTCATACCTAAAATGTCTGTATTCTTAATGTTTTAACACTGTTTCACTGGATTTTTTAAAAGATCCAACTATATATGCTGACTATAAGAAAAAAATTTTTTAAAAGATTTTATTTATATTTAGAAAGGGGAAGGGAGGGAGAAAGGGAAAGAAACAACCAGTTGCCTCTCACACACCCCCAACTGAAGACCTGGCCCGCAACCCAGGCATGAGCCCTGATGGGGAATCAAACCAGCAGCCAACACTCACTCCAGTGAGCCACACCAACAGGGCTGTTTCTCTGGATTTTATTTGAGGTTTTTTCCAAGTTCTCTCTTTAAGAAGTGGGGTCAAAGAAGGTTCAGATTTTTAGTCTTCCCCTTTTAATTCCTCATAGTTTGAGGAGAATATGCCCTGGGGCTGGTGGAAATGATTCACTTCCTTTCTAGTCCCACAGAAGAAACCTGTCCCCCCTCAGCACTCAGGTGGAGCTGGCTGAGAGGGGAGTTGGGCAACACCTTCCCATGGAGCCCCTTCCCAGGCAGGCCTGCTGCTGCTGCTGCTCAGGCTGCTACTCACATGGCAGAAGATCATGGCTTGAGCAATGGTGATGGCCCCGTAGAGGTTACACAAGGCCTGGAACTTCTCATCTCTGTTGTTGCACAGGACGTAGTACTGCTTGATGGTGTCCAGTGTCTCCTCCTCACGCTTCAGTTTGATAATGTTGGGGTCTGGGACCACTTTCTGGGCAAATTTCCATACAGAATCTTCGAAGGTGGCAGAGAAAAGCAGCATCTGGCAGTTCCTGGGCAGCATCCTGCAAGGGAAGGCCCAGGTATTTGGCATGACCCTGTGTTTATCACTGGAGCCAACAGAAGCACAGCTTCCCCAGGCTTGGGTGGTCTACGTCCCTGGGAAGATGGCAGAGGTGGAGAAGCACTGCGGGGAAGAGGCAGGAGCAGACACGGGGCAGGGACGAAGTGGTGGTAGATTCCCTAAGTCTTTTTCCTCGACCCAGGCTGGTGTGGCCCATTAAGCACATGCTTCTGAAGGTTCTGAGGCAAAGAACCCAGCAGGAGCAGAAGAGGAGCTGGGTATCACAGGATGAAACATCAAGACTTTTACTTGTGTATCAGGAGGCTGAGAAGTTCCTCCCGGGTCCAGAGTCCTACCTTTGGATGCGGATGCTCTGATCTTGATGGCCCTGAGTAGCTATCATCACATCAGCCTCATCCAGAACAAACACCTTGATCTTCTTGGGGTCAATGAACTTGAGCTTGGCGCACCAGTCCAGAACAGTTCCAGGGGTGCCAATGACAATCTGCTCACTTATCTTCTGACCTCTCTCCACTGTAGAGACAAGGTGGTTTTCATGGGTATGTCCATGGCAAAGCTAGCTCTCTGAGAAAGTCTAAAACTGTGATGTAATTTTTAAAAAACTTTATTTATTTTTACAGAGAGGGGAAGGGAAGGAGAAAGAGGGAGAGAAACAATGATGTGAGAGAGAAACCTTGATGGGTTGCCTCTCACATGTCCCCAACCAAGCACCTGGCCTGCAACCCAGGTATGTACCCTGACTACAAATTGAGCCAGCCACCATTCAGTTTGTGGGACGATTCCCAACCCACACAAGTCAGGGCCTATGATGTACATACTTTAATGCAATTGTTTTGATGTATGCATTAATATTCTAAGGAAAGGTTAGGATATCGTTACAGTATTTAATGGACACACACACACAAAAAGACAATGCTTAAAAGATACAGTAAGGATATAAACAATGATAAGGTAAAAAAAAGCTTCAGTGGTATTTTTTCATTCTATGTTCTCTTTTAAAGATCTGTTATCCTTATTTCTTTTTTGGGGACATTGTTCTTCCTAGACAATGATTGCATTTCCTCACAAGTAGACTTTTTCAAAGTTCTCAGTCTAGTGCACTCTGCCCCTAGCTATCCCAGCAGATATATCAAATAAGTCGGTTGTCTTTACATGCCCAAGCCAGGGTCAGGAAATAAGGTTCTTTATGAAAGCCTTTGTTTTTTCAAACACAATCTACCTCTTTTTAAAGTGCTTCTCAGACTAGATACAATCTTGGCCCTACACTCTGAGAATCTGGTTCTTCATTTTCAATTGGATTGTACTTACTGATTCAAATTTTACTACTTCAGTTGTACTCTTGACCAGACATGTACAAGCTCCCTCTAGTCACAGCCAAAATTTTGCCCAAATGTGATGTTGAGTCAATTCGAAGCTAACAAATGCTTGCTTCTCATTTCAGTAAACAAATAATTTCTGCCCCCATAAAAAATTATTCAGAATCCTCTGCCATTCTAACTCAAATCCAAACTACAATATTTTAAAGGTCTCATGATAATTTTTCACTAAGTTTTATTTTACTTTTGTCCTCAGAACTGACTTCACAGCAGGACATTGTATGCAGAGTAGATTTCTGCAAGTCATAAAGTCATAGGTTTGTGTTAAAGATCCATGGGACTCAACCAAACCTCTCAGAAAATTTTAATTACTTAAATTTTATCAGTTTGTTGTAAAACAAAAGTAGAAAATATGAATAAATAAAATAGAATAAGATACATCAAGGTTGCAAGTTTGATGCGTGGTCAGGGTACATACAAGAAGCAACCAATGAATGCATAAATAAGTGGAACAACAAATTGATATTTTTCTCTTTTTCTCATCCCCTTCCTCTGTCTCTCTCTCAAATCAATACATAAAAAATCAAAAAACAATAAAGCTCCCAGAGTTAACTGCCATGAACATTCTAGAACATTTTTGTTCTAATGACATTAAAAAGAAATAATTAAATAAATTCAGAATTTGGATTATTTTATAAGCAAAAATTTGTGTTCAAAAAAATCAAATGTGCCCTGGCTGCTGTGGCTCAGTAGATTGAGCACCAGCCTGCAAATAAACCAAAGGGTCACTGGTTCGATTCCCAGTCAGGGCACATGCCAGGGTTGCAGGCCAAGTCCCCAGTAGGGGGCATGCAAGAAGCAACCACACATTGATGTTTCTCTCCCTCCCCTCTCTCTAAAAATAAATAAATAAAATCTTTAAAAAAAAAAAAAACAAAAGAAGAAGGACCTCACTTTATAAAAAAGAAAAGTCAAATGTAATGGCAGGGGGAATGTGAGGGGACTATTCTAGATTGAAAGAAGCTTAAGGAGATACAATAACTAAATGCAATGCATATACACTGATTCAATCTTGGTTCAAAAACAAAAGAGCTATAAAGAAACACTTTGTGGATAATTGGGAAAAAATGAATATGACTAGGTAGTAGTTATTAGAGAATCTGTTAATTTTCTTGGTTGTGCTAACGGTATTGTGGGTATCCTGAAGAGTGTCCTCATCATGAAATGCATACTAAAGTGTTAGGAATAAAAAGTCAACAATGTCTGCAATTTACATTCAAGTAGTTCATCAGAAATATCTATATACATGTGAAGGAAAGATGACAAAATTATGTTAAGTTTTTAAATCTAGGTGGGGAGCACACATGTTTATTGTATTATTGCAACTACTGCATAAAGTTTTTCAAAATAAATAGAAGTCATTAGCTTAATGAATTAGGATTACATATTCATACTCACATTTATTGCCTCGAACAGCATAAGCTAGCTTCAGTTCAGGGTAAAATTTGCCCATCTGCTCAATTACTTTTCCCGTTTGAAGGGCAAGCTCATATGTTGGGGAGAGGCACAGACACTGGTAGGAAGAGCGCAGAGTGAGAATTCAAGACAATTGCTCTTTTGCAATGGGGAATTACCATCAGGATTTAGTTAGTCTTCCAGCTAAGGCTAAAGGAAAGAATATATAAAGTATACACTGTTTGATTCTTTAAACTGCAAAGTCATCAGTGAGAATTCTTAGGGGTCAGAACTCTGGCTTGGTAAAAACACTTGAAAATAGTTCTTGGCCAGTAGAGTACCAAAACCTACAAGTAAGTAAGGATCTAAAATTCAAATTGGAGATTAGCTTCCTTTTCCCTTTCCCAGAAAGTTCTCAACTTTCTAATGGATGAATAGTTGTAGTTGAAAGAGATTTTTCCTGTAAGTAACAGAGCCAAGCATAGCAGCAGTATCCCAGAACTGGCAAACCACAGAAGGGAACAGGATTTTCGTTGTTAATAGATCAACTATGGTGTTTGTGCCCAACTGAAGGGGCTCTAGTTTACATAAAAAAGTAATACAAGACATGCCTTTTAATCCATCACATGGCATTTCTCTTCTAGCTATGCGTCAGCAGAAAATCCAAATTCACCAAGCCCTTACCTGGGGGTATCTGTTTGCAGCTTCTACATGGCTGAGCATGGCCAACACAAAGGCAGCTGTTTTACCAGTACCAGATTGAGACTGGGCAATTAAGTTCTGTGGACTGCACAAGGAAACAAACTGTTTAGGAGCTTAAATCTCAAGTGTCCTTTCAGTTAATAAAAATGAAGAATAGTCGGGGGAGGGGGTATAAGGGGACTAAACGGTAATAGAAAAAATATAATAAAGATTTATATATATATATATTTTTAAATAAAGCTTTATTAAAGAACTAATAATCGACCCTGGCTGGTGTGGCTAGTGTACTGAGCACCAGCCTGTGAACCAAAAGGTCGCCTGTTTGATTCTCAGTTGGGCACATGCCTGGGTTGCAGGCCAGGTCCCCAGTTGGGGGCATGTGAGAGGCAACCAATCTCGCACACTGATGTTTCTCTCCCTCTCTTCCTCCCTTCCCCTCTCTCTAAAAGTAAGTAAAAAAAATATTAAAAAAGGAAAAAAGTGAATAATCAAAATTAATTGTATTCTGTAGCAGAGTTATATATGCAAGCTTCACAAATACAGAGCACTATAGAGAGAAGATTTTATGGTGGGATTTTATCTAGCCTTGAAATAGCAGCCAGTGATTCTTTTAAAATGTGAGTCAGCTCATATCAATTCTCTGCTCAAAAACCTTCCAATCAATCCCGATTTAATTCAGAGTAAGTTAAAATCCTTATAAATACCCTTGTGGGGGCACAGAAAATAATTTTCCTTCTACCTTCTAAATTCTAGCTGGGCTGATGGTCAACATGAGGCAGATTACAGTTAACAGGAGAAAATGTCCAAAATTTATTCTGGATGTATATTTCGCGGTGCCATAAGAATATGAGACCTGAAGATGCATTGGGCAGTTGAGGTTTATATGCCATTTTGGACAAAAGAAAGTGGGGAAAGGGTCTGGGATTTCAAAGGAAAGGGTAGGCAAATTATAGGAAGATAAGAAACAGCAATCATGGTAAACAAACCCTGGCAGCTCGACCCAGAAACAATGGGACACAGAAGTAAGTTCAACAAACAGGCTTTCCTGAAGTTTCTCCCTGTCTGCCACATTTAGGTCGTATTTTGAAGCTATGATGTATCCTTCCTTTAAGCAGGTTTTTCTATCTCAATTCCTTCAGGAGGGTCAAAGGTTCTTTCTGAGTCTTTTGTTTGTTTCTTTCCTTTTTTTTTAGATGGAGGCGAAGAGAGGGCTCAGAGGGAGAGACATCTCGATGTGCAAGAGATACTTTGATCAGCTGCCTCTTGCATACCTCCTAGTGGGGACCTGGCTTGCAGCCCAGGCATGTGTCCTGACTGGGAATTGAACCGGCAACCTTTCAGTGTAGAAGCCAGCACCCAGTCTGCTGAGCCACACCAGCCAAGGCTCTTAGTCTTTTGTTTCTTAATAACTAGCTTAAAATAAATACTCCAAAGGGCACATTTTGAAATGGCAAAGCTTTGGTCTTTCTAACCATATAACATCCTACCCTGATCTGGCTCCCCATTACCTCTCTGCTCTCATTTCCTACTACCCTTCCCCTTTCTCCACCCCCCACTGTGGCCCCAATGCTACTGTGAAAACATTCCAGCCATGCTCCTGTCTTAGGGTCTCTGCACCAGCTGTACTCTTCCTGGGACAATAGTTTTCAGATGACAACATGTCAACTCTCTCCTCTCCAAGTCTTTTTGCTCAAATCTTTTCTCCTTCAAGTTTTTGCATCACCTACGTGATGAGATACTTCCCTATGCACTGATTTAAAGTTGCAACCTACTTTGAAGTACCTTCACAAACAAGATTGGTAGAGAGGTATATTATGAAGTATAGTAGTAAAATGTTAGTGGTAGGCTCTAGGTGATGGGTATGTGGGTGTTCACTATAAAATCCTTTCAACTTTGTTGTATGGTAGAAAATTTTCGTAATGAAACTGCAATCAGGGGCCCTGGCCAGGTATCTCAGTTGGCTAGAGCACTATCTCCAATACACCAAGATTGTGGGTTTGATCCCCCATCAGGGCACATACAAGAAGCAACCAATGAATGCAGAAATAACTTGAAGAACAAATCAATGTCTCTCTCTCTCTTTCTCTCTCTCTCTCTCTCAAATCAATTAAAAAAATTAAAACACCATCTGGAAGCTTACTAGGAATGGTGAACCTCTGTCCCCACTTCAAATCTACTGAAATGAGAATTTGCATTTTAACAAATTCCTAGGCGATTCATATGCTATGAAAGTGTGAGAAGCATTGCACCAGGAGACAACCTTAGTAATTTTACTATCTGGTATCCTAGAACACTGTTTGGTTTTTGCCTACTATATTTGACACAATACATTTCAAAAAAATTTTTGTAAGTTTTTAAAAAATCTTCACCTGAGGATATGTTTACTGATTTTTAGAGAGAGAAAGGGATGTGAGAGAGGGAGAAAAACATCAATATGAGAGAGAAACATTGATCAGTTGCCTCACCTCTCCCGTGTGTTCCTTGACCGGGGATTGAACCCACGACCTTCTGGTTTACAGGACAATGCTCCAACCAACTGAACCACCCTAACCAGGGCTGACACAATAAATTTTATATATCCATATAATAAAATTATGGTGTATATGAATGATGTAAATGTATATTTACCAATATAGATGATCTTAAAAAATTTTGAAAAGCATATAAAATTTTTATATCCACCTAAAAATATATATATAGCCCTGGTGGAGTGGCTTAGTGGATTGAGTGCTGGCCTGCAAACCAAAGGATTGCTGGTTCAATTCTTAGTCAGGGCACACACCTAGGTTGCAGGCCAGGTCCCAAGTAGGGGGCATGCAAGAGGCAACCACACATTGATGTTTCCCTCTCTCCTTCCCTTCCCCTCTCTCTAAAAATAAATAAATAAAAATCTTTTTAAAAAAAGATAAAAATATATATTTTATATATACACACATATGTAAGCCAATATAGAAAAGAGTCTAGAAGTCTCTACTCCAAGTATTAATAGTACGTCATTGATGGAGATTACAACTGATTTTTTTCCTCACTTTTCATTGTTTTTTTTAAACATGTTTTTCTAAAATGAACATGTATTACTAGTATAGTTTTTTTTAAACAGTAAGTTTCTAAACAGTAGAAAATTAAAAATGAGATAAGGTTATGTCAGGACACATACGGCTCAGCAAGCATCAAAGGCAGTGCATTTTCCTGTATCTTGGATGGACGGTTGAAGCCCATGGCGTAGACTCCTTGAAGCAGCTGTGGCTTCCTAGAAAAACAGTTAATGATGCAAGTCAGTCTCTTTGGTTGAGGAAAGAAGCCAAATATCTGGGAATTTTTTTTCTCTTTTTATCTGCTATTACCTACAGGTTATAACTAACAATACTCAAACTGTGCTGAACTGAGCCTAGTGTTTAAGTGCAGATAAAATTTTTATAGATTACCTGGAAATTTTACTTAATTGTTCAAAGCGGCTAATTAAAAAAAAAAAAATTAAACTTGTGTTAGCTAAAAATGTTCTACTGTGATGAAAAAATATGTATAACCGGCCTAGGATTTCTATCTAAACATAAAGAAAGGGGAGAGTAAAAAAGCAAAAATATACTCACAGTCGAAGTTCCTCAAAAGACTTCACTGAGTAGAGGGGAGAGTTTGGATCCCGCTGCAGGACTTCCACTTGGTTGGTGTTATCGACAAGATTACTTCTGATGAGCTTGTTGAGTAAGGACTGGGCAGCTCTGTCCTCTGTCAGGAGAAAGAGAGGAAAGAATTTTAAAAATCCATGAAATCCACCATGAGCTCATCTAAATTTAATTGTCCTTGGTATTTAAAGCAGTAATATATGTACTGGGACTTCTAATCAAGGTATATCATCGTTTTGATTTATAAATATATTTAATTTTTTTACTAAAGAGAAAAGTTATGACCCTAGCTGGTGTGGCTGAGTGGATTGAGCACAGGTCTATGAACAGAAAGGTCGCTGATTTGATTCCCAGTCAGGGCACATGCCTGGGTTGTGGGCCAGGTCCCCAGTTGCAGGCTTGTGAGAGGGCAACTGATCAAGGTATCTCTCACACAAACTGATGTTTCTCTTCTTCCCTTTCTCTTCCCCTCTCTCTAAAAATAAATAAATATATATATTTTTTAAAAGAGGTTATGATACTCATATCATCCATTTGGGCCTGATATTCTTCTTCAGAACTCTATTCCTAATAACTGTCCTTTCCTGAGATTATCTATTCCTCTAGACCCAAATATTTATTCTCCAATTTGCACTTAATATAAACTTAAGATGATTAAAATTTAACAAATATATCACGACAATGAAAAAAACACAGAAATTAAAGTCTGTCTTGTATCATATAAGCAATTTGCATCTCGTTATCCATGTTAAATATGCTGAAATATCATTAAGTTTAATTTTATTAGACAATGGGGATGCAATTTAAAACTCCTTTTATAATGCCCTGTAAAAAAATAATTATTCAGGGAATATTTCCTGCTGCTGCTGCAGTTCATCACTTGTTCAAAGTAAAATTTCTTTAAAATGCAAACAATCAGAATTCTTTCACCAACGACTGTGTTGAACTTTTATTAGCACTGTGATTCTCATTAAAGTCAAGCCCAGTTAGGTGTAAAAAGGAAGGCTCTTAAAAATCCATTCTTAGCCCTGGCTGGTGTGGCTCAGTGGGTTAAGGGCCAGCCTGTGAACCAAAAGGTCACTGGTTTGACCCCTGGTTGGGCCACATGCCTGGGTTGTAGGCCAGGTCGGGGGTGTGCGAGAGGCAACCAACTGGTGTTTCTCTTACACATCGATGCTTCTCTCCCTCTCTTTCTCTCTCCCTCCCCTCTCTCTGAAAATAAATAAAATCTTTTTTAAAAATCCAATCTCTTAGACTGTAGAACCTTAGTAATATAGCTCTCAGGCAGTGTTACCTTTCTCTTCTTCATCTGTCTTCTCTGCATTAGCATTGGTCTTGACAACAGCACCTTTATCAGACACAAAGTGGCTGTCATTCAAAATCATATCCCATACCCAACAGCTGAGACAATTCAAATTCTACATTAGAAATGTAAAAGCCTGAGAAGCAAAAAAATACAATGAGGAAACCAAGCCACACATAAAAACATATTATTGTTCCTGAATAAATAAAGGTATGAGACACTGTGGCTTATATTTTAATCCTTTCCTATTCTGAGTCCTCTCGCCATACCTAAAAATGTTAATTTTTACATTTTTACATTCCCTCACACCATTAATATTTATGAAATGTTATATAAAGATGATTACAGAAGTCACTGATCAGAAATCACCTTAATGCTCAACAGAGGAATACCTATACAAATCAAATTTCATCAAAATATGAATACAATAATGTCATTAAGAATCTATATATAATTAATAGCAATATATATCAATGTTGTAGTTATGTAAAAATATGCAAAACACAGATTGTAAGTGAATTCAGTGAGGTACATATTACAATTTCCCCACTATAATATTAAATATAAAAACAAAATTTCAAGGGAAATCTTAGATTTTTGGTACATGATTTCATAATAATTACAATAGGTTAACTCTCAGATTGCTCATACTTTGTCTAGTTCATCTCAAATTCAGGAATATTTTTAAAAACGAAATAATCTTTGTCAGTGTAGTCTCCTGGTTAGTAATACATTTAATAACGTATAAGTCAATTAGTCATCATCGTGCTTATATGAAACACAATTAAAACAAAAGTCCAGTTTGTTGATTTCCAAGTCAAATAACTGCTAATATCTGCAAGCCCCTGTCTAGTTAGTTACATATATATTTTTCCAGACAGTTATGTCCAAAGAAATACTGAAGTAAATCACATTTGCTTTCAGACTAGCTTTTAGTTACTCACCATTGGCATCTGGTTTGATTTTCTCTTCCTTAAGATGCAAGTTGCTCAACTAAATGGAGAATATGAGGGGAGGGAAAGTGTCAGAAAAATCACTTAAAAGATTTTGAATCAACAGAGCCTCCCCAGTGACGCTGGAGTGACATGAGCCCCTCTCAAGGCCTATTCATTAGACTCTTCTGCTGAGCTGTTTTTGTAATCCCTAATTACAACCCCTAGAATTATAACTTATGAGTTTGTTTAATTCTCTGATTACAAAGATCTCTCAATAGAATATCATTTGAGTTGTCATGCTCTCATATTCCAAACAAGAGGAGATTTAAAGAGATAATGGAAAATGCATCTGTGAGCAGGATGTTGCAGGACATGTTGGAGCCACAGGATCACAGCAAACAGATATGCAGCTTCACTCACATTGAGGCTGCCTTGTGCTGGATGTCTGGTATTTTCAACTAGGAACAGCTTGGAGGATCATGGCACACTGTGTAATCAAAATCCCCAGCAGGCTGAAGTGGGAATAGGTAGCAAAGGACAGAGCGAAGAGACATTTCAAAGAAGGAATTTTCAAGACTTGGGTCAAACACTGTAAATTAAGAATATCCTGTCAGGATTTATGTCTCCTAGAAGAATGAAAATACCCTTTTGGTGGTCAATCATACCTCAATAAAGCTGGGGGGGGGGGGAGAAAAAAGAAACTACCTTAAAGACAGGAGATATTTTTACTTCTAATTGATCTTCAGATATAACATAAAGCAGGTGCTATAATCTTTAACATATTAAGTGGTGCCAATGACAATCTAGTGCAGGTAAAAGTATGAAAATCACAAGAATGGATATTTCTTAAAGCACCACCCACATAGGTTCTTTATGTCTTGAGGCTCATTTTTGTCTTTTCTCAAAGACCACGAAGGGGGAAAGATAAGGGAGGAATGAAAAAGTTGTTTTGTTTTTTAAAGATTTTATTTATTTATTTTTAGAGAGAGGGGGAAGTAGGGAGAAAGACGGGGAGAGAAATATCAGTTGCCTCTCATATATGCCCCAACCAGGGACTGAACCGGCAACCCAGGTATATGCCCTGACCAGGAATCAAACGCGGGACCTTCCACTTTGCAGGACGATGCCCAACCAATTGAGCTACACAAGTCAGGGCAAATGTTTGTTTTAATGATTGGTTAATTAGGAATGGAGGAACTTCTACTTACAGAAACTGAAAAGGGTGTTTCTGGTGTCTCTGCTTTGGTGTTTGGGGGGAGGGGAGGGCACACTGGAGAGACTGGCAAAAAAGGAAATTGGCAAAAAAAGATCATCAGAAAGCAGTAAATATTCTTCATTAATTTCGAAGAATAGATAGCACCCGAACAAATAATGAATATGAAGGAACCAGCACAGTGCATGGTATATAAGTGGGTTAGGCGTTCAATATTTTTTAGTCTTCACCAAAGCATTCCTCCTCCACATCCTGCCAGTGAACCCAGTTTAAGTCCAGTAGTAGTCAGGGTTGTTAAAACAGAGACAGACTTATTGGCAGTATTTACAAGAGTAAGGTTAATAGTACCCACTCCTACAGTGATAAATGCTATTTAAAATAAATGATAGGGCTGAGGTCTAAATAAGTTAACAATGTATAAAAGTTAGAAATATCCATTACTGTAAAGCATTTTAATATTCAATGGCAAGAGGATAAACCATCCTTTTGTTGACAGATTGTTCAAATTGAAAAGTAAATAGTTAAAATAACTAAAATACAATGTGTAGGAAAAGTTGGTAGCAACAATGTAAATGAAACAAATAGATGTTTTAATACAATGTATCAGAATTCTTGAGAGGTTGCAGCAGAATCTATAAAACAAACAGCCTTCATTTGGCTATAAGAACTCAAAACCTGTAAGGCAGAAGCAACAGGAAAGTGAAGTTTGTACCCACTGCAGTGTGAGTAAACTAGACATTGACACTTATGTTGAAAGTAATTGGTTCAGATACCTCCTTCTGCTTTATTTGGACCAAAAATGAAAAACCAGTTTCACTTGCATCTTCATTGGAAACCATTTTAAAATTCAGGAAATTAACCAAAAGGAAAAAAGGCAAAAACACCCACCTTATAATATTCACATTTTTAATGCCTTTAATATTTTAGTTTTTAAGATACATTAAGATAATTGAAAACTTTAGTGACACATAGCATTTGATTCAAAAGCTACCTGAGATCCCTGGGAAATAAGGAAGATTTCATGGTAAGTGACTACATTGATTAGGGAGGGCCTCAGGCAAAATGGGGAAGTGGGAGTCTTTCTTACTCATCAAAGAAATGAAACTTAATGAATACTTAAAATACAGTAACCCAGCACTGTATATGTCCCAGTCACCTATGTCATGCACTGCCTGTGGGGATCCTCAGTGAGAGTTCCATAAAGGCAGAGGGTAGCAGAGGTGTTTTTACTCATTTGTTCAGTTTTGGAATATTGTGATCTATTATAATTTACTTGTGAATGGTTAGTAGAGTTACAAATTCTATTGAGGGTCAACTAACTAATCCATGAAGTACAGACAAGTAATTTAAGATTCCTGCAAAGAAACTGAATTACAGATAATAAAAATAATAATAGCTATCACTTATATAGCCCTTATATCAGGTGTGTCTATAACTCAATAAGGTAGGTACTATGATCACCCTCATTTTACAGATGTGGAAACTGAGGCACAAAAAAGTTAGGCAGTTTGCTCAAGGTATATAACTAGTAAGTGAAGGACCCAGAATACCAATCCAAGTCTGTTTAGATACAAAGTCTAAGGTCTTAATCTCTGAACAAAAGTGCATCTCATAGATAACAATAACCTCAAAGAAAATAATAATCTAAGGATGATACGATGGTGTAGCTGCTTTGGAAAATAGTCTGGCAGTTCCTTAAAAGTTAAACACACAATTACTATATAACCCAAGAGAATTAAAAATACTATATGGTCACACAAACACTTGTGCATGAAATGATCATAGCAACATTATTCATAATAGCCAAAAGGTAGAAAGAATCCAGATGTTCATCAGTGGACATAATGAGTGGAAAAATAAACGTGGTATATCTATACACTGGAATATTATTTGACAATTAAAAGGAATGAATACTGATACCCACTGCAACATGGATGAACCTTGACACATTATGCTAAGTGAAAGAAGCTAGACACAAAAGACCACAAACATATTTTATGATTCCATTTATATGACATGTCCAGAATAGGCAAACCTAAACAGACAGAAAGTAGATTAGTGGTTGTCTTGGGCTGAGAGGTTAGAGGAAGATAGGGAGTGACATCTAAAGCATACAGTCTCTTTCTGGGGTGATAAAAAAAGTTCTACAATTGTGGTAATGGCTGCACAAGTCTGTGGATATAGTAAAAATCAGAGAATTGTATGTTTTCAATGGATAAAATATATGGTATGCAAATACCTCAATACAGCCATTATTTTTAAAAAAAGATAATAGGGTAAAATCCCACCATAATACTCTACACGTAGGGTGCCAGGATTCAATTTTGTAAAATCCAGGGTTTTGTTGTTGTGAATAAAATGGCTAGTATAGATCTGCTGAAAATGATAGGAGCTAATCATATTATGTCTATTTCATTATCACAGGATGAATTATGAATTTTCTGTTCTGTCTTAAAGACAATTCTAACCATGCAAACTCAAACAAATAAGAAAATGACAAAGCTACCAACTCCTAATAAACTCTTTTAGGCATATTAATGCGTTAAGAGAATGACAATCTAATCTGACCTAATAAGAAGTTAGTGTGTCCTGGCTGGTGTGGTTCAGTGGATTGAGCACTGGCCAGCAAACCAAAGGGTTGCTGGTTGGATTCCCAGTGTAAAGCATATGCCTGGGTTGTTGCCAAGTCCCCAGTAGGGGGCGTGCAAGATGCAACCACACATTGATGTTTCCCTCTCTCCCTCCCTTCCCTTCTCTAAAAATAAATAAATAAAATCTTATTTTTTAAGTGAAAAAATTTCAAAACTACTTGAAATATATATTCATATTTACAGTGGCTATTAATGTTTTTTTCTAAGTGTATATTGTACCTTGAGATATTGAAGTGTAAAGCCTGAAAAGGAAGCACAGTAAAACATTTTAAAACATTGTTTATTTTATCTTTATCTCAGCTGTTATTACTTTTGTATCTGTTTTATAATGTACATGATATATTTAACAAAATAGTATAGTATGCAATTTCTAAATAGATATATATATATTCAGAATTCATGTCCAAAAGTTTCTGATAGAGCCAGGTAATGGAAAAACAGACTATACAGCTTATTTATTCAATTAACAGTGCCTGCTAGGCTAGGCATGAGAAATGCTGAGATGAACAGGCTAATGGCCACAGCAGAGAAAGTGGATGCCATGATGAAAATGGGAACATTATGTGAAACCAGGTATACCGAGTCCTGAGCCCTTCTCCTGCCCCTCCACTCACACCCCTGACCACTGACACTGACTCAGACCCCTGCCCTCCAGGCAGGAAGTCTGAGGACCCCTCTCTGCAAAGCCTGGCCAGTCAGGAGAAAAGTTCTGAAGACATTAAAGAGATAAAGGTCAGAATTGGTAATCCCCACTCACGTATTTAGAGCTTTCATTTTTTTAGTCACCTACTTTTAAATATGAGTAGATAAGAATTACAGACATCTGAGAAGTCTCCGTCATGAAGAAATAATGAAATAGATAAAAGCACCTAATGAAAAAAAACTAATATTATCCTCAAAAAGATGAGAGGATATTATAGCCATGGAAGCAACACAGGATATTGTTTATAAAAAAAGGAACACTTCCCTGACTCTTGTGGCTCAGTTGGTTGGAGCATCATCCCATAAACCAAAAGGTCCTGGGTTCAATTCCTGGTCAGGGAACATGCCTAGGCTGCAGGTTCAGTCCCAGTCAGAGCACATACAAGAAGCAACCAATCAATGTTTCTCTCTCACATTGATGTATCTCTACCTCTCTTTCCCCCTCCCTTCCCCTCTCTCTAAAATCAATAAGCATATCCTCATGTGAGGATTAAAAAAAAAAAGAACAATAAGGGGGAGGAAAGTTAGCTCTTGTAATTAAAAACATGATACTAGAAACACAAAATAGGCCAGAAAACGATTGAGAAAAATCTCCCAGGAAATATGGCAAAAAAGACAAAGATGGAAAAAAAAAAAAAAGGAAAAAAAATAACTCTTTTCAACAAATGACACTGGAACAATTAGACATGTGAAAAAAATGAACCTTGATCCATACTTCGTACAACATAAAAAAATTCAAATGGATCATAGGCAGTAAATGTAAAATTTAAATCTCTAAATCTTCAATTAAAAAAAAAACAGGTTAAAAGTTTTGTGGCCTTGGGCGAAGTGTTTTTCTTAGAACACAAAAAGGATTAATCATTAAAAAATTGATAAATTAAAATGAATCAAATTGAAAATGTTCTTTGAAAAGTACTGTTAAGAAAATAAAAGGACAAGCTGCAGCCTGGAAGAATATATAGTAGACCTCCTTATCCACAGTTTTGCTTTCCATGAATTCAGTTATCCACAGTCAACTGTGGTCTGAAAATATTAAATGGAAAGTTACAGAAATAAACAAGTCATAAGTTTTAAACTATGTGCCCTTCTGAGTAGCACAATGAAATCTTGTAGCATCCTGCTCTGTCCCTTGAAACATCCCTTTGTCCAGCGGGTACACACAATACAGTAAGTTATTTTGAGAGAGAGAGAGGTTCACATAACTTTTATTATAATTATTGTTATAATTGTTTATATAGGAAAAAACAGTACATATAGGTTTGGTACCATGTGTGTTTTCAGGCATACATTGGGGGTCTTGGTAAGTATTCTCCCTGGATAAGGGGGAACTACTGTGTACACAAAATACAAATCTATTAAGGACTTATATCCAGAATATATAAAGACTTCTCCCAACTCAATAATCTGATTTTTTTTGTTTCTGATATCTCATTGTAGGTGTACCAAAATACTTTCAATCTCTGAAAGCTTTCTTTTATTATGGAAAACTTCAAATATTTACCAAATACGAAAACACTGATTCTCATTTACCAATAAGAAAACAATCTGATTTTTAAAATGGACAAAAGATTTGCAAAGTCACTTCAGAGAACTTACATGGATGGCAAATAAGCACATGAAAATATTCTAAACATCATTAGTCATTAGGAAAAATATAAATTAAAATCACAGTGAGATACCACTACACACCTATCAGAACAGAGAAAAAACTGGTTATGTTGCGCTGGTGGTGTGGAGCAACTTGAGTTCTAATTCATCACTGATGAGAATACAGTATGGACGGTACAGCCACTTTGGAAAACAGTCTGGCATTTACTAATTTAAAAGAACCCAACAAATCCCATTATTAGGTATTTATCCAAGAGACATGTAAACATAAGTCCATACAAATATCTACCCTAATGTGACAGTAGCTTATTCATAATTGCCAAAACCTGGAAAATACCCAAATGTCCATCAATTAAGAAAAATAATTAAATTGTGTACATTCAGACAATGGAATATTACTCAGCAATTAAAAGGAACAAACTATTGATACATATAACAACATGGCTGAGTCCCAAATGTGTTATGCTAAGTGAAAGGAGCCAGATTTTTCAAAAGATCACATATTGTATGATTCCATTTATATGACGTTTTGGAAAAGGCAAAACTATAGTGACAGAAAACAAATAAGCAATTACCAGAGATGGGTAGGGGGGAGTAAATGCAAAAAGTTTGAGGGAACTTTTGGGAGGGGGTGATGGAAATATTACATATTTTGATTGTGGTAGAGGTTATACAATTAGATGCCTTTGTCAAAATTCACAGAATAAGAGTAAGTTTTATTACATATAAATTATACCTCAGTAAGTTTGACTTAAAAAAATTAGAGGGCCAGTCAGAGAGATCCACCATTCAACTAATAAGAATTCTTGAAAAAGGGAATAAAGAAAACACAAAGGGGGAAAAATCAACAATGAAATTTTTCAAGAATATTTCCCATAACCAAAGGACCAGAATTTGCCAGAATGAAAGGGACCCACCCAGAGCCCAGTAAAATGGATGAAAATAGACCCATACCAAGACATATCATAATGAATTTTCTAATACTGGAGATAAATAGAAGATTCTCCAAGATTAGAAAGGGAAAAACAGGTCATATCAGGATTCAGAATCAACAACAAATATAGAAATCTTAAAGTCAAGAGAAAATATGCCTTTAAAATTGGGCAGGAAAATAATTTCCAGCCACACTGTCAATCAAATGATAGGGCAAAAGAATATATTTTTGGAAATGCAATTTTAAAAATTTACTTCCTGTATATTTCCAGAAAGCTGATGGATGGCTCCAGTAAATCAAGGAAGATGAAGAGCGGAGATACAGAAAGGACAGGATTTAATGCAAGAGAAGAGGAGAGAATCCCCAGTTGTATTGTAAACATAGTGGGAACTAGTCTAGTATGAAGCAGGCTAAAAGACCTAGGAAAAATGGAATTGATAGACCACTTGATGTGTCTGCATATCCTGAGATAAACTTAGACAACTAGCAAAGAACTTAGGGTGGAATTGAAGTACAAAGAATAGAAAGAAAACACAAGACAATTATAAATTCCAAGCAAAAACAAAAAGCTTTATAGGAAAGTAAAACTATTCATGTTATTAATAATATAAACTTGAAATACTGATGAACTAATTGAAAACTACTATATCATAATGAAAAGATAGGGAATGACAAGGTGCACATGTATGGTGAGGAAAGGAGGATGGAGGAAAGATTCAAAATCAATAAATGCTTAAAATTGGAAATTCAGGAAGCAGCAAAACAAGCATGTTATTTAGGGAGAAAGGTCAATATGTAAATCACTTTCTTTTTTTAAAAAATTTTATTTATTTATTTTTAGAGAGGGGGAAGGGAGGTAGAAAGAGAGGGAGAGAAACATTAATGTACAGTTGCCTTTCTCCCGCCCCCAACTGGGGACCTGGTCTACAACCGAGACATATGACCTGACTGGGAATCTGACCAGCGACCTTTTGATTCACCTGCTGGTACCCAATGCACTGAGCCACACAAGCCAGCCTGGGTCTTTCTTTCTCTCTTTCTCTCTTTCTTTCTTTTTAAGATTTTATTTATTTATTTTTTAGAGAGAGGGAAGGGAGAAAGAGAGGGAGGGAAACAACTACACACATCTATACATTGCCTCTCGCACACCCCCTGCCGGCAACCCAGGCATGTGCCCTGGCCTTTGGTTCTCAAAACAGCACTCAATCCACTGAGCCTCAACAGCCAGGGCTAAATCAGTTTCAAGAGAAAGTCTCCGGGGAGGGGAAAAAAACTAGTCGCGGTGGGAACCAGTGTTAAAAATTGACTGTTTGAACTATTTGTGTTATTACGTATTTATCAGTTATAAAAAATAACACAAAGCTCTTGTTCTCGAATTCACAGAAATAAGTACTAACAGAAGACGTATGTTCAAAGCAGTATAAGAATTTACGAGTGAGTTTAAGAATTCTCTAGGTGAGAGAAATTAATTCCATACATAGTAACGTTTAACACATATCTTGCTTACTGGGTGTCAGGCCCAGAACAAAGTTAAAGCAGGTCAGGAGAGGATTTACTGACTGCCAAGCGTAGTGAGTGGCTCATTCATCATCACTTAACGAAGATGAGGAAGCACATAGGTATAGGTAACCCATGGTTCTTAAGCCCAAAAAGCTCAGAATCGGTAAGCGGAAAAGGGCACATACGAAAGTGATACAATCCATGGTAATGAGTGCAATCTACCATCAGCCCGGATTCTAGGAAGACAGGCAGGTGCCAGGGCTCTTTATAGATGGGAACCCTCACCTGCGCTTATATAACACGGGAGGTGGGTGGGTAAACAAAGCCAGGCCAGGATCCAGGCTCCATCCCCGCCCGCATCCCAACGGGTCCCGACCAACGCAGGGAGTGTTCATTCACTGGGATTTGATTGCCAAAACTGACCGTCTGAGCCTTTTACGGCTGACGGCCAAAACTGACCGTCTGAGCCTTTTACGGCTGAAACCAACTCACCGACTCGGCCGCCGCTTCCTGCTCATCCACCGCCAGGGCCCACGAATCAGTGGCCATGGCCCCGGAGGTGGTTGGGATGCTGGTGCTGGCGTACTCGGCGGCTGGCGCCGAGCGATCGTGGGCTCCCGGGGGTCGCGGTGAGCCCGGCTCCTGCCCCACGGAGGGGTAAGTCATTCGCTCCGGCGCAGGGGACCGGAAACGGCGCGCCGCAGTGACGTCGGAGTCCGCGTCGGCCCTAGACCCCTCGGGGCTGTCCCTTCTGTCGCCTCAAGATACGCACCCTCACCCCTGCTTAGTCCACGCTTTCTTATGTAACTTCCAGAATCGCGGACTGAGGTAATTATCTTAAAAGTGCCTAAACTCTTGTCAGCTGGCTCCAACCGCAGAGCAAAACCATAATCCCGCCCAAGACAGTGAGATAGAAGCAGTTGATACAGACTGAAGATACCGAAACACAAAACCGTTGCAGATAGTCACCAAAATGCATATTGAAACAAGCAGATCTTTTTCCTCATTTTTCAGGTTGGTATTTTCAAATGTCCAGGTGCTGGCCAGGGTGTTAGGAATCATCCCTGTTAAACACCGTTTGGTTAAATATTTGTCCCACAGACTATGTGGCAACACCACTTAGAGGAATTTCGCCTTGAAAAATGCTCAAGGAAGGTCCGAGGGAACTGTGTTCCAGATAGAGGATCGGAGACAGGAAAGAGCAAGGATGTTTGTGGAGCTGAACAGACACGGAGTTTCTGCGGGGACTGAAAAGAGCAGCGAAGAAGAGGTTGTTAAGAAGTGGATGAAAGGTGCAGAGCAGCTTAACGAGCAAAAGAGTTCACTCCAGGGAACCCCTCCCATCCGGCATGACTTTTGAAGTTAACTGTGTATAGGTTAGAGTCCCAGCTCTCCCATGTAAGGATTTTGACTGGGAAAATTTTTTAAAAGGCAAAAACACCGTGTGCTTTTAGAAGAGGTAAAATAAGGGTTAAGTGTGACAGATGCTTTCTGCTAACTAGAGTCATACAAGCTTCTCTCCCCTTGTTACTTCACTAGAAAGAAGTTGGGCATTTTCCTGCAACCTGAGAAAAGGAATCCCCACTTCTCCCACTTTGTCAATATTCCACTACAATGAATTAATTTCAAGCAATAGTGGTCTCTCTGTGGAATTTTACCTGGAGAGTATGAGTAAAAATGGGAGAGGATAAAGCAGTTCCCAGCCATCCTTGTCATGATTCTTTCCCTCCTGCACCCTTTAGGGGGTTAATTGGGGGGAAATTTTTTTTTTTGGATCCTACAGATGAGGATGTACAAAAAGAAAAAGGCAAACACATAGCCCTGGAAACCATGACCTTCATCTCATCATGTAAGAAGCAATCCTGGGAATAATTTTTCAGAGGAATATTGATCACAGGGCTAAAGGAAGTTAATGAATTTTTTAAAAAATATGTAATGCCCTGACTGGTGTGGCTCAGTGGATTGAGCACTGGCCTGTGAACCAAAGGGTGGTGGGTTTGATTCCCAGCCAGAGCACTGTGCCTGGGTTGCGGGCCACACCCCCAGTTGGGGGCATTGAAGAGGCAATCTATTGATATATCTCTCTCACATCAATGTTTCCCTCCCTCTTTCTCCTTCCCTAACCCCTCTCTAAAAATAAATAAATTTTTTTAAAGTTTAATGCGGTTAAAAATTAAGTTATCTAAGGTGCCACTGTATATAATAGGATACACTTGTGCAAAACAAAACTTGAATATATGCTAGTACCTACTATACAAAATATTTAAGACACAAAACTGATAACAGTGGCTGCTTCTAGTGAGGGACTCTAGAAATCTGGGGTGGGAGAGACTTCCTTTTCATTATGTATACCTGAGCTTCTGAAATTTATTTTCCATGTGTATGTTTTCATTTTAAAATTATGAGTATTTCAGACAAGAAAGGGAATAATATAATGAACATTTAGGTTCCCACATCAAGGCTTAAGAAATAAAACAAGACTCAGTTGAAGTACCTGTGTATAGCCATCCCATGAGATAGCTCCTGAATTTGGTGCTCATCCTTCTCATAAATGCTTTCAGCATATGTTGTTTATTCTTTTTAAAAAGGAAACTTAGCTCTGGAAGGTGTGGCTCAGTGGATAGAGCACTGGTCTGCGAACCAAAAGGTCACCAGTTCGATTCCCAGTCAGGGCACACGCCTGGGATGATGGCCAGATCCCTGCTCTGGGCATGCCAGAGGCAACCAATCAGTGTTTCTCTCCCTCTCATTCTCCCTCTCTTTCATCAGTGAAGGTGCTACCCTAACAATAACTCTGGCAACATAACAAAGTTATGGAGGCTACAACCTATATTACTTTATTTTGAAAGTGCAATTTGTATAATTTTGGCTTTCATATTAATTGTACTGGCACAGAATTCTGACCTATTTCTCAGATTGTTTGGGCTAAATATGCCTAATCTTTTTGGGCCCATTTGGGTCAGAACAAACACTAGTCTCTCTTGGTTTTGCCCTTTGCTGTCTTATGCTCTTAGTGCCTTCCTTCTCCCCTCTCTATAAATAAATAAAATCTTTTTAAAAGAAACTTAAAAATAAGCATCAGGATTCTAGACTCTCGTACCTCCATCCACTATACCTGCACAATGTGAGACTCCTGCTAAGGGGGAATCTGGTCTCTAAACTGTAGTATGGAGAGAGGACTCAGGAACAAAGAGCATCACATTTGAATTAGGCAGCCTCTTCTCTGAAATCATAGGAAGTACCCATCTTACCATCTGAGGATTCAACCAGATCTCAAGGTTACGGCCATCGGTCCAGCGCCTGGCCTATGGCGAAGGCTCAATAAATATTAGCTATTATTATAGTGGTGATGCAAGGAAGACACCTAAATGTGGGGGAAAAAAGTCGCGTTTCTACTCTCGGAGATACTCACGGCGCGCACGGGCAGGGAAGCAGAAAGTACCCCAGGACACGACGTTGGCCTCCGCTGCCAGCAGCCCCAGGCATTACCAGGCAGCATGGCGGTTACCTCCACCAACGGCCTCCCCAGCCTCATTGGCTGAGGTGTGGAAGCCAATCAGCGTGCCCACGTACCTTGGGGCAAAGGGTCTAGGCTCTAGCAGGGGCGCATTTGTGTAAGTTTTGTTACTTTTTGCTTAATATATCGCTGTCTGCACTGTCTGGCTAGACTGGGAACTTCTCAGGGCAGGACAAAGCCTGCTTTCTTTAATGCTGCTCTTCAGTACTAATGCGTAATAGATACTCATTTGGTGAATAGATAGATTAGGAACACCCACCCCTTGGGGAGAGCAAACTCTAATCCTTGTCTCTGAACAAACAGGTGAAAGACTGCATTCTGGAGTTTAGGCCCTTGCTACTCCAAGTGTGATCCCCCAGAAGCATGGGTGTCCCCTGGGAGTCTATTAGAAACGTAGAATCTCAGGCCCACTTCAGACCTACTAAATCGGGATCTTCATTTCAAGATCCCAGCTGACTCCTATAGCATCTTATGGTCTGAAAACAACTATTTAGTCATTTCCATTTGATCTTATAGCAAATAAATGAACATTCTAAGTCCATTTTATAGATGCTAAAAGTAACTTCGGTGCCATGGGAGAGTCAGAATCTAGGACTAGTATTTACAAAACCAAGTATTTAATTATCTGGAGCCCGTTATCTTCCTCATGCCCCAAGATGAGGGTCTGCCCATGTTCAATTGCAGAGCAAGCCATGTGTATAGATAGTATTCTCTCTTATCGATAGGCCTATTTGCTTAATCCAGAATAAGAAGTTTCCTAAAATACACAATTTGCACATTGTATTGATATAGCTTTCCTTCTATTATGTAGTTGACATCTACAAGAGAAAATTATCATAGAGAACTGGGTAATTATCTGAATAATTCATGTACAAATTCATATTTAGAAGGATGTGATTTTGGGGCCTCAAATTACAATTTCTCCTTGTTGCTATCGGATGTGATGCCTGCGGGAAAGTCCCGAAGGGAGACTCAAACCCTCAGCCAGGACTGTTGTTTGCTTTGAGCAGGAAAGAATTCAAAAAGCAGCTGGACAAGAGGTTAAAGCAGAAGCAAGTTTATTGAGCAGAGAAGATAAGCAAGAAAAGCCACTCAGCGTAGCAGACTCTTCTCACAAGAGAAGAAAGTGAGACCCCAACTGTCTCCAGAGGTTGAGCTTCTATCTGTTTGCAGTTTCTTTGGAAAATTGCTGGTACAGGGAAACAGAATAGGGGGAAAAAGTTGCGATTAACTTTAACCTTTACGAGGTGAAAGGTTAAAGTCCTTGTATTTGTTGTCCTTGTGTTTTATTTTATGGTATGTGTACTTGTCCTTTTATGTTATGGGAAATAATAAGGTACTGGTGAGTAGCTATTAATCAATCTTTGCAGGAATTTTCATTGTTATGGAGGCACCTCGTGGTCTGCTTGCATCTCTGGTCAGCCACGTTCCATGTCAGGCAGCACGTAGCACGCCCCTGACTTAACTTTGCTTGACTTTAGTTAATTTATATAGTTCTTGTGCCTGTTTCCTATATTAGGTGAATAAAAACATTTTTTAAAAAAATCTTTCATCAGTGAAGGTGCTACCCTAACAATAACTCTGGCAACATAACGAAGTTATGGAGGCTACAGCCTATATTACTTTATTTTGAAAGTGCAATTTGTATAATTTTGGCTTTCATATTAATTGTACTGGCACAGAATTCTGACCTATTTCTCAGATTGTTTGGGCTAAATATGCCTAATCTTTTTGGGCCCATTTGGGTCAGAACAAACACTAGTCTCTCTTGGTTTTGCCCTTTGCTGTCTTATGCTCTTAGTGCCTCAGTTTCCTCAGCTGCTAAAAGCAGATACTAATAGTAACTCATTATAAGGTTATAATGATCAAAAGCTTAGATCAGTGCATCCTGCATATGATTGGTCAACAAATGTTAGATGTGATGATGATTACTGAGTTGCTGAGAACTGGGAACTTATGGTGACTTATTTTTTACTTCCTTTTGATTTTTATCTATTTGTATAGAATGCTATTTTACATAAAAAAGTAAAATTTTTCTTCAATATCTTTAACCCTGTTATGAACAGTAGCACAATTTCATACCCAGGTATTTCGATGTATCAGATGATGTATGTTATAGAGTATGGGTTTCGGGGTGAGATGTGGGTTTGAATCCTGGCTTTGCATCTTACTCTTCAGTGTGAACAAGAGTAAGCCTCCTTACGAAGCAACGTAGTAACATCATCGATAAAAAGGGCATGCCAGTTGACCAGCCTCATAC